GCTGGAGCGATAGCACAGCGGGTAGGGCGTTCGCCTTACAAGCGGCCAACATGGCCGACCCGAGTTCGATTCCTCCGCCCCTCTCGGAGAGCCCGGCAAGCTACCGAGAGTATTCGATATGCCAGACACAGTAACAACAAAGTCTCCAATGGAGACGTTACTGGGCCCGCTCGAGCAAATCGACGATCAACGGGAGGGCCTTTACCTTTACCTTTACCTTTACCTTTACTACTTTCTAGTCCTAAAGGTAAAGAAAAATCTTAAAACATGTCTACTAAATGAGGTAATTCAAGGGTGGACCATCTGCCCTGCACGTACCGGCCCTCAAGTTCTATCCTTAGCTCCCTATGCACTACCAGGCCCAAGTTTGCGCCATCAGGCCTGCACCCCTAGGCGTGCCCCCAGCTCCCTGAGCACCACTGGGAGTGGCCCAAGTATACATACATACACACGTCCATGGATACATATGATACATATGCACAATCCGTGGATATACACACATAGTCCCCATAGAGTCCCTCTACACACACATAGCATATATATGTATAGTCTTGTGTATATACATAGTCCATGTATACACACAATGTATACATACACAGCACATGTAGATGCACATGTAGATGTAGATCCACAGTCTATGTATTTATACAGTCCATGCATAATCCATGTACCTACATAAACCTCACATGCATATATACACACACTCCATGTAGAGTCCCTGTATATACAGTGTACACATAATCCATATACATAGTCCATTATACACAGTCCATGTGCAAAGTTCATGTATATACAGTCCCTTTATATACACAGTGCATTATACACAATCCAGCATATAGTTGCAGCGGGTAGGGCGTTTGCCTTGCACGCGGCCGACCCGGGTTTGATTCCTCTGTCCCTCTCAGAGAGCCCGGCAAGCTATTGAGAGTATCCTGCCCATACAGCAGAGCCTGGCAAGCTACCCATGGTGTATTCGATATGCCAAGAACAGTAACGAGTCTCACAATGGAGACAATACTGGTGCCCACTGGAGCAAATTGATGAACAACAGGACAGTGCTACAGTGCTATACATACACATCTACACACTTACTCATATATATACAGCCCATTATAAATTCCATGACACATGATCCACACATATACACAGCTCTTGTGTATACAGCTTACGTACATATACATATCTGTCCATGACCAAGCTCTTAACTTAGAGTTAAGCATTATGGCACTTTGGGCAAGCCCATCTCGATGCCAGGGTAGTACATAGCTTACCACTTGCCCTGGTTCCATCCAGTCCCTCATCGGGACCCTGCTTTTGGGGGCGCCAGGAAGTAAAGGCAGCTGAGGCTTAGGTGAGAGAACAGATGCCCAGGCGGGAAAAATCACTGAGAGTCACATTACAAAAGCATGTCTTCTTGTGTCCATACAAAAAGGACATTGCTCTGAATAAACTATGCAAAGGACTTAGGGAGAAGAGAAAGACAATATTTACAAGTCAACAAAGAAAGAAGTTACAAATAAACACAGACAAATGGGAACACTGTGATGGGAGCAACCCAATAAACCTAAACTTCCTGAGGCTATGCAGGAAGGACAGAACAGTGTTCTCCTACACATATCTACCTATATACCTACATATGTGTATACATACAGCCCACGTATATCTACATGGCTTAAGTAAACATACAGGGGCATCTGTGTCTTCACACAGTGCACGCATGCATGCATCACAGTCCAGTCCATGCATACACATGTCCACTTGCTCATATACACCCCTAACCTTAGCTGAGCACCTAGTTCCGTGGTTTCAAACCCTTCCACGGCTACGGAGAGGATCTGTTCCGCAGCCCTGGCCAGCAAGGCTACTCTCCGGGATGAGGGGTCAAGGACCCTGAGCCCACGCGGCGCACAGACTGGCGTGCACAGCAAGCTGCGTGGTCCCCGTGCACTGGGCGCTCCCCCAGCGGAGCCTGCGGCAGCAGCGCGGAGGGGCATCGGGATAAAGGGGAAACAGACGGGACCGAGAACCGCCTCGGCCCAGCGCAGACGCGGGCGCAACGCCGTTCCAGCAGCAAGAGCCCCAGTCTCCCGTCCCGCGGCAACGGAACCAGAGCTCCTGGGGAGGGGGGCTGCGCGCGGAAGGCCGCCCCCCCACGCACGCCAGGGCCCGGCCGCGCGCCGCCTCGGCGCACTGGAGACCAGCGCCGGGGGTCGCGCGGGGGCTGCGGCGGGCAAGCGCAGGGACACTCGGGGCGCGGGACCCGCGGGAGCAGGCGCCGGACGCGCTCGGGGCGAGGGTCGCGCGGCTCAGCTCCGGGCCGCCCTCCCGCCCGCGCCTCCGCGGTACCTGGTTCTGGACGCGAACTTCTTGAGCAGGTTCTTGCCACACGCGGCCGGCGAGCCGTGAAGGGCCCGCGGCTGCAGCCCCCAGAGCCCGCAGCCCAGCCACGCCCCCAAGCCCGGACGGGACGCCCACGGGCCCCGCGCCGCAGCCCACATGACTCCGAGTCCGAGCCCCCGGCCGCGGACCCGGCGCCGAGCACGCGGGCGGGGCAAATGCAGGGGCGGGGCGACGCTGCGGGCGGGGCGACGCGGTGGGCGGGGCGACTGCGAGGCGTGACGGGTGTGGGCGGGGCGCCGCGCGGTGGGCGGGGCGGCGGGGCGGGGCGGGGCGACTGCGACGGCGAAGAGTGCGAGCGCGGTGGCCCGCGAGGTGGTAGGACGGCGTGTGGGCGGGGCGCCGCGCGGTGGGCGGGGCGACTGCGAGGGGCGACGTGAGGTGGGCGGGGCGACGTGAGGTGGGCGGAGCGACTGCGACGGGCGTGTGGAGGCGCGTGCGAGCGGCGGTGGCCCGCGCGGTGGGAGGGCGGCGTGTGGGCGGGCGCCGCGCGGTGGGCGGGGCGACTGCGAGGGGCGACGTGAGGTGGGCGGGGCGACGTGAGGTGGGCGGAGCGACTGCGACGGGCGTGTGGAGGCGCGTGCGAGCGGCGGTGGCCCGCGCGGTGGGAGGGCGGCGTGTGGGCGGGGCGACCGCGGGGGCCGGGGAGGCGCGTGTGCGCGGAGACGTGCGCGTCCGGGAGACGCCTGCGCGGAGGCCACGGGCGTGTGGACGGGCCGCCGGCCGGCGGGGCCGGCTGTGGAGGCGGCTGCGTGCGGGCCAAGGCATGTGGGCCGGAAGCCAGCGTGCGTGGGGACGTGGGGTCACCGTGCGCGGACGCAGGGCGGGCGGCGTGGAGCACGCGATAAGCACTACGCGTGTGGGGAGACGCCGGGGAGCGTGCGTGGGGGGGCCGGGAGGGCCGGGGCGGGGCTGTAGGGACCCTCCGGGCCCTGGGGGCCACAGGGCCCTCGCGCCTCCCACGGCAGTCGGAGTCTGAGCAGCCGTCGGTGCGTGGGGCCCGCGCGCCTCCCGGGAGTGGAGCGAGGCGGTCTGCAGCGCAGCTTCCTTGCCTCAGGAAAGAGGCTGAGAGGGAAGGTGAGGCTCCTGCGCTAGTGAGTGACCCGGAGACCACCGGACTACTTAGGGCAGCGCTCGGTTCCTCAGCTCGGATCTTTGGAGTGCCTGCCGGGCGGAATGAGTGACTGGAGTAGCACTCCAGTGGTGTGACTCACTGATAAACTCGGAACTGAACGGGACCGAAAGCAGGCAGAGATGGTGCAGCAGGTACGGTGCTTGCCTTGCACACGGCCGGCCTGGGTTCAGTCCCCACCACTCCATGAAGTCCCCAGAGCACTGACGGGTGTGGCCCAAAAATTACGAACTGGGCAGAGAGACAGCAACTGGTGCTTCACATAGCTGGCCCAGTGGGCCTGGCCTAGTGTGCTTGCTCAATTCAAAAATCTTCTAAGCCACTTGCCAGATGGAAGAGATGCAGAGGGGGCAATTTGGTGCAGATACCCACGCTTCCACAGCGGGTGGGGCGTTTGCCTTACACGCTGCTGACCCAGCCGACCCGGGTTCGATTTCTCCGCCCCTCTCGGAGAGCCCGGCAAGCTACCAAGAGTATCCTGCCCGCATGGCAGAGCCTGGCAAGCTACCCGTGGCGTATTCGATATGCCAGAATCAGGCACAATAAGCCTCACCATGGAGACGTTACTGGTGCCTGCTCCAGCGAATCGATGAACAAAGAGAGGACTGTGCTACCCATGCTTCCAAGCAGAGCTCTCTGAATCCTATAGTCCTCAACAACAACTGGGTGTCCTTAGAAAGTCCCTCTTCTCTGGTTTTATTACAAAATCATGTAGACCTTGAGCATGACTGTGGCTGGGTTCCGGAGGTCTTGGGCTGCCAGGGCTCTACTTGGGGTAGGGAGGGAAACTCAGCCCACCCCCTCCAAGGGGCCCCAGTGAAGCCTGGCAAGCTCCCCATGGTGTATTCGATGGATAAGCCAAAAACAGTAACAGTAATGGGTCTCATTCCCTTGACCCTGAAAGAGCCTCCAATGCAGCACCATTGGGAAGGACAAGTAAAGAGAAGCTGCTAAAATATCAGGGCTAGGACAAATGGAGACGTTACTGGTGCCCACTCAAGCAAATCGATGAATAACAGGATGACAGTGATACAGTGATACATGTAGACCTTGAACATGAGCTCCAGCACCTCTCCCCAGTGGCAAATCCTATCTTCTATTCTGCGTTGGTTCTCTAGGAAACCAGCCCCAGCCTTAATTGTTTTCCAAAAGTCACATCAAAATCCCAAGGGTTCTAGAAGCTGTGAGCCAGGAACAGAGGTGAAAACCAAATGTATATGAATAGGTATCTGAATGACCAAATACATTTTTTTCTTATAATTCTCACTAACTCAGTAAAGCATTTAGGGGCCAGAGCGATGAAGTACAGCAGGCAGAGGGCTTGCCTTGCATGCAGGAAGACCCAGTTCAATCCCAGACATCCCATATGGTCCCCTAAGCCCCACCAAGAATGATTACTGAGTGTGGAGTGGAGGATTAACCCTTGAACACACCAGATTTCTGACTAAAAAAAAAATAAAAATTAAAGAACTCAAGAAACATTAGCTATATTGTCATTCTTAAAGTTTTTCAGTCAAAATATTATTGATCTATATCATGAACTCTCAACATTTCAAATGCATAGTGCTCATAAATGCCCACTTATTCCTTGTGCTCTGGTCTCACTGCATTCTCAGTCACATGCATCACTTGAGCAGTACTTCATTAGGGATGGGATGGCCCCTGAGAGCAGCCTGGATGCTTTCCACCATCTCTTCCATCATCTGCCATCTGTCCTGATGCGTTGCACTTCCTATGTGTGGTGTCAGAATGACGTTGTCCAGCCTCAGCAGAGGGTGATCTCTGAAATGACATTAGTTGTAGAGAACAGTGCAAACTTGCGAGTCCTCTTTAGCTTCTTGTTCTGGTTCAAGGGTTGCCTGAGAGGGGGAAGTCTGTAGGAGCCTGATGGCCTCACATTAAGTCACTGAGGTGTCACTCATCAAACCCCTAGTGAGGAGCTCCCAGACTGCATCTACAATGGCATGGCACCTCAGATCAAATTGAATGTGCCTTCAATGACAGTATTGAGAAGGCCAAAGAGAGAAAAGATTTGTTGGTCACAACGAGCAAGACAGGTGATTTCTTTGGCATAAAGAACACAGAGGTTGGCAGACCGCCTGGGAGGAGAGTAAGGTCTGGTGAAGTGATTCAGGCAAACTCGAACATGTTGATAGGCTGTACAAGAACTTGGCACTAGGAAGGGCTGGCCTACCACCCAACAGGCTCTCTTGGCTATTTATTTATTTAATTTGCTTTTTGGGTCACGCCCAGTGATGCACAGGGGTTACTCCTGGCTCTGCACTATGGAATTATCCCTGGCGATGCTCAGAGGATCATATGGGATGCTGAAAATTGAACCCGGGTTGGCCACATGCAAGGCAAATGCCCTACCCGCTGTGCTATTGCTCCAGCCCCCTCTCTTGGCTATTTAAATATGGATGAGCCAATATGACTGCGCAGCCGCTGAGGCAACTCTGAAAATCCTCTGCAGCGGGACACGCCAAAATGTAGAGCCTCTCCCAGGGGGTTTCCAGTACTGAAAAACCAACTCAGAGGACTCCATGAGATTGACATGGAAGTTGTCCTTGGTAGTTGTATGGGAGCTGGCCAGTCTCCCAGTATGAACTTGAAAAAGGGTTCTGTATCGAACAACATATATCCCCAGCTACTTTCAATCTCATATACTCCAAAGCTCCCTCGGGACACTTGTCATTAATTGTCTGAACACACTCTGCCTGTACTCACTCAGGACCCAAGAAAGTAGGGCACACCCCATGGCACTCTCACCAGAAATTAAGCTCTTCTGAAAATGTTCTTGTCCTCATTTAGGAAGGGAAAGGGGCTGCCACCAGACGGCACCAGTCTCAGGGCAAGGCTCTGTGTTGAGACAGTGACTGGCTTGTCCCACAGACTTTGTGCTACAATAACTGAATCCTACATAACTGAATTGTGGTCAATGAGAACACCATGGGTCCTCAGTAAATCTGTGGTATAAAGGATCCATTCTATTGAAAAGGCACAGCAAGCCCCTCTGTAATATGAGACTGACGTGCATGACCCACATGGCACATGCTGTCACATCAACACTGAAAGTCACCTGATATACCAGTGTGGAAGTCAGTCTCTGGAACGTTAAGTAAAAGCCTCCTCAGACTGTAATCCCAATGGAAACGATGTCTAGCTAATATCACATAATCTGTGTACCAGGAGAGCTGAGACAGTCGAGTGAAAGCAAGTACTCAAACTGAAAGGAAACAAAAGAAGGGCTCAAGAGAAGGCTAATTGCTTCTTTATATTCATCCCACCCATTGGCTCCAACTGACAATCCCTTACTGCTGATCAATCACATCAGTGCTCTAATAAACCCATGTCATAGTCAGCCTTGGCCAACATGAACTATGGCTAGTATGATGAAGGGCTGACTTTCAGGCATTTAGCACTTAGAGCCACACATGATAAGCATAGCCATTGTCAAGCCACTGGTACCACTAAGCCTTGCATATGCCTGATGAGTACTTGCTTGTGTACAGGCTTTAAGCAAAACCAGACCATTCATGGAATAAATGGTTCAATATGCTCAACTGTTTTGTTCCTGCCACCATGGGCCACTTTGTATCAGGATGTACTCCAGGGGCATGGACGCTTGCCTTGGCTAACCTGAGCACCCCCTCCCACCCCCCCCCACCCCCCGCCCAGTAGTCTGGCTGAACTTGATGCTCATCTGGGCTAAATCCCTGGTTACAGACATGCCCAGACATGCTATACTCTTACTGGAATGACTTGCAGGTTACTATAGCAGATGACAACTACCTAAAATGCTCATGCTTCATAATTTATATTTGTTAGGTCCCTAGGAACCCTGAGGGAGATTCCAGAGTTAAAACTCTATAAATTAGTAACTCTCCCTTTCCTGCCCCCTCCCTAGCAGAGCTTTAGAGTGAAACTCTTCGCTGTTGGAATGTAAATTCGGGAACCATTTGTTGGGCCCTCCTTATCTGTTACCTCCCTTAGGAACTCTTCCCTTATCCACCTCCGGAATGCAGGGCTGAGAATCAAAGGAAGCCAGGTGATAACCAAATGTCCCAGTTACCAGATGCCCACTAGCCACAATGCCTATGTACGTACATGCTGATCTTTGGATCTATAGGAGTGATGTACTTTTAAATGGATTGGTTAAGAAAGTATATGTTGTTACAAATCTATTGGCTATGAAATGTGCGGGCTTTGCTGTAACGGCCAGTGAAGGCCTATATAAGATCCCCTTTGAAGAAGTTCGGGGTCTTGCCTCACCTAACTGACCTGCGTGTCTGTGTAGGCGGCTTGACCCTGGCTAGCCAGTCTTACAATAAACCTTGCTTGCTGTTTGCAGTCTCTGGAGTCTCTTTGTCGTTAAAGGGAGATCACGATTCGCACCCTAACATGTTATTACTTTATTTAGACTGGTGGTTCTCAAAATTTTGGTCTCATGACCTCCCGACAAATAGAAATTGAGAACTACAACATTTGTCTATATGGATTATATCTATCAAAGCAACACTGTTAGAAATTAAAATAGGGGTTGGAGCAATTGTCTTGCATGCTGCTGACCTAGATTTGATCCCCAGCACCCCATATGGTCCCCTGAGCCCCACCAGGAGTGATCTCTGAGTGCAGAGCTAGGAGTAAGCCCTGAGCACCATGAGATGTGGCCCCCCAAACAAGACAGAATTATGTTTAGAGCCATATAGTAATGCAACATATAGTAATGCAACAATACAGAAACCCAACGGCAAAATGAAGAACTCATCACACTGTTAGCTTCATGGGTGAGAAAACATGAGTGTCAACTCACATCTTCTAGGGGCTTCACAGGCTACAGAAAGGGTCTCCAGATAACATTCTGAAAACCCTTGCTCTAGATAATTTGTTTTCCTAAAAAAATTGTAATTCTATAGTCAATTTGATAAAGTTAAATATTAAAATTGGTTTTAACATCAAACATTCAGCTGAAAACACTGCTTACCAGCTAGATCAGAGCAAGGAGACCAAATACCAAAAATACCAAGCGATAGTACAATGGGTTGGGAGCTTGCCTTGCACATGGCCAATCTGGGATCAATCCCTGGCATTCCATATGGTCCCTTGTGCACTGCCAGGAGTAATTCCTGAGTCCAGAGCCTAAAATAACCCTTAAGCATCACCAGGTGTGGTCCAAAAAACAAACCAAAAACAAAAAGAAGTTTAGTGAATAATAGGGTGGGCTCTAATTTTGAAAGTGGCTCAAATCATAACAACAAGCAAATGAAGTTAAATAAAAACTAGTGCATAGCTCCACAGATGCTTCAAGAGAGCTGAGGGAGTAGCAATTTCAGTTGGACTAAAAATTTGGTCATTAGGGCACAGGAACCTCAAGAGCCACACTGCCAACATTGCCTGGTTCCCTGCAGAGGGTAGCCTCAAAGAACAATGTCCCAAAGAACGGCGTCCAGTTTCCAAGTCTATTCATAGGACAGTGTAGGATAACATTGGTTTGTTCTTTCTCCCTTGCTGCAGGGAGCTTAGGTTTATAGGGTTACACCCATCACAGTGCTCCCCTCACTCCCATTTCTTTGTTTATCTATAACCTTTTCTCTGTGCTCTCCTCCCCAACCAATTAATCCCCCTCCCCACACCCAGAATCAGATTGTTGACTTGTAAGGTCAGATCCTTCTAAGGACACTGAACTTGTATTGTAAGTTTTTTAAATATTGCCTTTCTTCTTCTCTATGTCTTTTACATAGTTTACTCTAAAGCAGGGCTGGAGCCATAGCACAGCAGGTAGGGTGTTTGCCTTGCACACTGCTGACTGGCAGACCCAGGCTCAATTCCACCACCCCTCTTGGAGAGCCTGGCAAGCAACCGAGAGTATTTTGCCCACACGGCAAAGCCTGGCAAACTACCCATGATGTCTTCGATATGGCAAACATAGTAACAAGTCATAATGGAGACGTTACTGGGCCCACTCGAGCAAATTGATGAACAATGGGAGGACATTGACAATGACAGTGACTTTAAAGCAATGTCCTTTTTTATGGACACAGGAAGACAGTTAACATTATGCTTTTGTAACTTGGGAGTTAATTGACTCAAAATAATTTTCACTCCCGGGCATCTGCTTTCTTGACTTAAGCCTCAGTTGCCCTTAGTTCCTAGTACCCAAAATCAGGGTCCTGAAGAGGGACTGAAAGGACCCAGGGCAAGCTCTGAGCTACCCTGGCATCGAAATGGGCCAGGCCAAGCGCCATAACACTTGACTATAAGTTAAGAGCACTGTCATGGACAAACTCTGTCGTGACCCAAAAGAGGTAACTGAATTAGGACCATGCTAGGGTTAGGAAGACTAACTACCTGGCCTGAGGACTGTGGTCTAGAATATATAGTGAGATGTCCTCAGGAAGAACAAATTTGAAGCTTGATATATCTCTTACTGTGCTCATACAAAATAACATTGCTAGAAATATTAGAATATACTACAACTATTTAAGTATATTACTAGCTGAAGAAAGACGAAAGCAACACACCCTGGATGGAATCCTGTTCTCCTAGTAATCTGGAGTAATTTCCTTAGATGAGTTTTTGTCCTTGAGTTAATCTCCTGGAGGAGTGGCCTTACCTCTCTTTGTTGATTTGTTAATGTTCAACCCCACTTTTGTACTCCATCCCTACGTGATTTCTATAGGCTAGAAGACTGGGCGAGGATCCAGAAAGAGAGAGAAGCAGAAGGAGAATCAGAGAATGGAGAGGAGATTGGAATAAACTGCAACTGACACCAACCAGCCTGGCCCTCATTCCCTCCTTCATCCACCCATCGCCATAGGCCTCCCTGGGGATGGGGGAAGTGGTGCGAGACCACCCAATGCAGGCAGAGAGGGAGAGAGAGAGAGAGAGAGAGAGAGAGAGAGAGAGAGAGAGAGAGCCACCACAAGGCCCTTTAGTAATTTATTTTTGAATACACAGGACAGCAATACCAAAGTGCTAAATGGGAGGAAGCCAGTAACAATGCAAAGTTCTGAAAAATGTCTCCACTCAGCCAAATGGAAGGATGCAATTATCTGAGAATCAACCACCTGGGATAGTGAGGAACACCCCATGTGAAAGATGGTGAGAGGACCACATATGAGAGATTGAATGATACAGCAATATAGGGACAGGAGGAAAATAGAGTAAGATTACAAAGATAATGACCTTAAACTCCCTCTATGAAAATGCAGAAGAATGGGCCCAGCATGCGCACCAGGATATGCAGAAGACCACCCTCTCAAACGCTGCCTTCCCCAATCCCTTGCCTTACTGTCTTGCATGCCTTGAAGCCATGAAAAATCTCACCCCAAGTTAAGAAAGTACAAAAGAAGGTTCTTCATCTTTCGTGGGTACCCGTAGGATAACATTAATTTTTCCTTTCTTCCTTGCCACAGGAGCTTAGATTTATCAGGTTATACCCATCATAGTGTTCCTGATGCACCTCCATTCCATTGCGTTTATCTGTAAACTCTTCTCTATGTTCTCCTCCCTAAACAGTTAATCAGCTTTCTCCCCTAATCAGACTCTGTTAACTTGTAAGGTCAGATTCCTCAGAAATCTATGATTTTATATGTATGAGTGAAATATTGCCTTTCTCCTCTCCTTATGTCTTTTGAATAGTTTACTTTAAAGCAATGTCCTTTTTGTATGGACACAGGAAGACAGTTAATATTATGCTTTTGTAACTTGGGATTTAATTGGCTTCGAATATTATTCACTCCCAGGCATCTGCTTCCTTGACTTAAGCCTCAGTTGCCCTTAGTTCCTAGCACCCCAAAAGCAGGGTCCTGGTGAGGGACTGAATGGACCCAAGCCAGGGCAAGCTGTGAGCTGCCCTGGCATCAAAATGGGCCAGGCCAAAGCGCCACGATTCTTAACTATAAGTCAAGAGCTTTATCATGGACAAATGCTGTCATGATCCAAAAGTAATGATGAGACTAGGGCCCTGCTAGGGATAGGAAAGACTAATCTGGCCTGAGCACTGTAGTCTGAGATCGAGATGACTCCAGGAGAGCAATTCTATAAGCTTAATGTATCTCTTACTGTGTCCATACAAAATGATTAATATTATGAATGCTTATATGTTTGTTGGACAAGGAGAGAAGAAACACACCCATGGGATTCCTCTCTTGGGCAGGCCGTCCTGCTGAATGGGTATCTGTTCTAGAAGAAGGATCCTCTGAGGGAAAAAACTTTACCCCTATTGATTGTGACCACACCTATGTGTAAACCCAAACCCCTCATGCTTTGGGATTAATTAGGCAGTAAGAAGGGGCTGGGGGATCAAGATCCAGTTCCAGAGCGAGGAGAAAGAAGGGGGATTGAGAAGGAGAATGATTTAGCATGGGGGAGGCAGAAGCAGAAGAATCAGAGGAGAATGGAGATGGGAATGGAATAAACTGCAACTGAGACCAACCAGCCTGGCCCTCGTTTCCTTCCTTCTCCTGCCCATCGCCATCGACCTCCCGGGGTAGGGGAAGCAATGTGAGACTACTGACTGTGGGCAGCGGGATAGATAGAGCACCGCTGCAGCCCCTTTTGAGTTTACACAGGTAACCCGAACACTAGCTGCCCTGTCTTTCCTCAAAGTCTCTTCTGCATTTGGTCATCTTGTCTCAGGTCCTCTCTTTCAGTCTTGACCACCTGAAGACAGGCCCCTAAGCACACTGTGTCATGAGGACACCCTACCTCTGTGAGGTTGTTTGAGGTCCACTCTGCACATATGAGAAATGTGGCTTCATCTGATTTACTCACCTGGGTAGGGGCTCTGGGTGTGTCACATCCAATGCAGCTGCTTTAATAACCCCAGTCTGAAGAGCTTCCACTAGGGCCTCTTGATCAATTAGCAGACCTAGGTTGGAAGACAATCCTGATGTAGAATCATCTCTAGTACCTTGTAATACAAGCCCACTTTCAGCTTGCCAAAGGTTTAACAAAGCGTTGACTTCATTGTCAGTATAAAAGCAGTAGGAAACCTCCATGGGCTCCATACAAGCTTTCCCACGGAGCCTGCCAGTGGCCAGCAAAGTCAACATTCATGTACAGAAGAGGAAATAGAGACATTCCTAAGGTCACTCCACTTTTAACATACCAAGCGGGTGCAAGTCCAGGTGACCCAAACCTGGACTAATATTGCCCCCAGGGTTCAGGCTAAGGATTGTCATTTTAAATATACTGCAGGTGCCTCTGAACACCACAAGAAAAGTCCCTTTCCTTCAAGCAAGGAGCCTGCTGACCAGGGCACCAGCTTCACGCTACATGGTCATGGGTGGCTCCAAAGGGACACAGGTGGCCCTGGCATGCATGAGTCTCTGCAGAAGCCTGGTCCAGGCCCTTCCCCAGGTATTTGTTTCCCAAGAACCTCTTAAGTGCTTCCTAGCCTCACCCATGCACACCTGCAACATATACATATGTATACACACGTATACATACACACCTGCAACACATTGTACATGCACACCTATAACCTGTACACTTGTACATGCGCACCTGCAACACATACATCTGTTCACACATCTGCAACACATACACCTGTACATGAACACCTGCAATACATACATCTGTTCACACATCTGCAACACATACACCTGTACATGCACACCTGCAATACATACATTATATGTGCACACTTGCAACATGTACACCTATTCAGGCACACCTGCAACACAGACATCTGTACATGCACACTTACAATATGTACATATGTACATGCAAACCTGCAACACACATCTGGACATACACACTGGCAACACAGACATATGTACACTCACATGCAGCACATACATCTCTGTGCACACATATGAAACACATCTGCAACATGTACATCTGTAGATACACAGCTGCAATGCATGTATTTATACATGTACACCTGGAATATGTACACCTCTCATACAAGTGCAGTTGTACATGTAAACCTGACATATACACCTGTGTACACACATCTGCAATATAACAGCTGTCACATAAGGCACCTGCACAAGCACGCCTACAACACACACACACACCTGCCACACAAATACATCTGTGTGTATATACCTGCACCATGCACACCTGCATCACACACCTACCACATATACATGCTTTAAAGCACACCTGCTGCATGCACACCTGCAGCATATACACTCATGTGCGCACAGTGGTACCTCTGCCCACATTGATAAGAATGGCCGTGGGCTTCATCAGCCCTAGCTCCCTCTGCCCAATCATCTTCTGGGTCTGTGGTGTTAAGTTCAAGGCTAACATCACAAAGTCTGACTTTTGAAGCAAGTCATCCAACTTTTCACAGTATGTGGCCCCAACAGCTTCCTCCTCCTCCAGTGCCCTGCGAAGAGAATAAGGAAGAAGCACTCACTGCTTGTAGAAACTCACACAGTAGCCCCAAGGAGAACTCTGAGGGAAGTTATGAACTAACTAGGGTGGACACAGGAGGTAGCTGGACCCTGAAACCAGGAAATACTTTGCCTCTGCGGGCATGATGTCTTCAGGTGTATCAGACATCAGTATGTCAGTCTGGTGACTGCAGGACTCACATCAGACTGAGCCCCAGGGCCATGCTATATATGCTCATGTCTGAGTCCAGGTCTAGATGTCTGACCTGTGCCCATGAGTGTGGGTGATTAACAGTCCCCAAGAAACAGATCAAACACAAGAAGGCTAACAGAGGAACCATCCCAGGTCTGGTGCAGAATAGCTGAGAGGATCTGAGGTCTAATCTTGTGTCTTACTCAGAGCACTCCACGCCTGATTCCAACCACTGCCATACACACTTGGAATAAAAATTTTGCAAATTCTGGGCTGCGGTGTTCAGTCAAGCACATGCCTTGTCCATACAAGCCCCATAGTTCTATCCCTGGCACAGCATCACCCTAGAGTACTGATAGGTATGACCACCTCAACAATAGAACATAAATACAAATTCTTGGCATCTTTCCTGAAAGTCTTGGCTGGGACTATCTGGAGGAGGACCAATGGCCCATACCCCTCCTAATGACTACCATCCTGGAGGACCCTGTTTGCTTCAAGACCACTGTAGCTATGAGACTCACCTAAGACTCCCCCATCCCTACTGCAAACATGTTCCCCAGAGAGGGGAACATCCTAGGAGACAGATTCCAGTGCCTTCTGGAGCCTGATTACTAGCTCCCTGACTCTACCTGCAGCAGAGTCTGCACACACTTGAACTGGGGCTGAGTCCCAACACATGTGGACATAGGAGTCTCACCAGAGAGGAAGCGAGTTTTGTCCCTAGAACTGTATGGGCAAGTGTTTAGCTGTCTCAGAGAAACCAGTGGCAGTGCTTGGTGGGTGTGGAATGAATCACTTTAACATCAGGATGTAGCTCAGTGTCAGGGAGTTGGCTTTGCAAATGTGCAACCCAGGCTTCAATCCCAAGCTCACATACACATCAGTTACAAAATTTTAAAAAACACAGTTGTGGGGCTGGAGTGATAGTACAGCGGGTGATTCCCAGCATCCCATGTGGTCCCCCGAGCACTTCCAGGAGTAATTCCTGAGTGCAAAGGAGGAGTAACCCTGGCATCGCTGGGTGTGACCCAAAGGGGGGGAAAAACAGTTGCAGTTGAGTCAAAACCTCTTTTCTTGGAGGCAGGGAAATAGTTCAATTAGGTGGAGCAGCAGTTTGCATGCATGAGACCCGAATTAAGCTCTGGCAAAGTCTGGTTCCCAGCATTGCCCACTGTGGCCCCTGTATCCCGAGGTAGCAAGCCCCAGGACTGTCAGGCCCAGGGTTACCAGGAGTGGCCCCAGCTCCTGAGCATAGGTAGGGAAGCTCCCCAAATTCTTTCTCCTTTCTATTTTCCTTTTCTATTTTCAGTGCCAGGGATCAAACCCTGGGCCTCACACAAGCAAGGAATGTGCACTCCCACTAAACAACATTCCTGACCTAAAATTTAAAGTTAAAGCTGTGCTGGGGAAATAGTACAATGGGCAGGGCGCTTGCCTTGCATGTGACTGACCCAGGTTAGATCCCTGGTACCCCTTATGGTTCCCTGAGTCCACCATGAGTGATCCCTGAGTGTAGAGCCAGGAGTAAGCCCTGAGCACCACCAGGTATGACCCCAAAACAAAACCACAACAAAAAGTTACACTTTTCCTGCGTAATTAACCAAATGAACAACATAATCCTTCTTCTTAAGCATCAGTCCTGTTTGGAGAAAAAGTTGGGGGTGTCTTAGGAAAGCGAAGTGAGAACATATCCATGCCATCTAAGGTGTGGCTCCACCTAGCTGATGGTACCTGCGTCTCCTGTTGTGGTACAGAACCTTCATTTCGAACCCTCTGGCCCTCTGGGCAATCTTGTAGCCAATGGCACCCATGCCAACAATGCCTAGGGTGGCCCCTGTCACTCTTTCACCCAGAATTTCCACAGAGAGTTTCTTGGAATCCGGTGAAATGGCCAGCTGGTGACCTGGAACACAGAGCAGAGCAGTTAGTGACCAGGGGTGCGTGAAGTGGGCTGAACACATGGCATCTCTGACAGCAGACATTAGAGTGAGGGTTACAGTGGTTTTCCCTGCCCATACCAGCTTCCCGGAGGAAGCTGCACACCAGCAAATCCCTTGGTGTTAAGGAAAGATTGCTGGTGACCTGAACATTTGTGTGTGTGTGTGTGTGTGTGTGTGTGTGTGTGTGTGTGTGTCTCTGATTGTGTGATATGTGCATGTATGTAAACCAGCAAGCTGATCCTGTTTCTGCCTTGGTCCCCCTCGGTGACCCCTGGAGAGGACAGAGCCTGCACCTGCCTACTCCCAAGGACACCCAGGCAGCCTAGGCAGTTTGGGGATTGTGGGAGAAGAGCCAAGCCCAGGTAAGCACATGATGCTGGTGCCCCAGAGCAGATCAGGCAGTGTGGCAGGACGGCCTGAGCCCAGGACCGCATGCGGTGCTGGAGCTCCTCCCAGCCACTCAGTCTCCACTGCTGGGTGGCTATGACTTGCTGGGAGAGACAGGGCTGGGGACAGAGCCACCACAGATCCCAGACCTAGAAGGACCCAAGAGGCACGACTGCCCTCACCAAGTTGTGAAATGCCAGATCCCTGCACAGCGGCTATTACCTTCCACCACTCTACGGGCTGCAGCCAGCAGCAAGGCCATTGCCATATCTGCTGTGGGGCTGGAAACAACATGGGGTGTGTTGGCCAACCGCACACCAAAGTTGTTGATGAGGTTCAGATCCAGGTGGTCGAGGCCCACGCCAGCGCTGGCAATGATCTTCAAGGATGGCAAGTCCTGCAGAAGCTCCTGACTGATGACTGGCCTTCCTTTCCAAACATACACAGCTTGGATTTTTTTACCAAACTGCACCTTATTTTCTAGAAATTCCTGCATGGTTATGAGATTAAAGTACTTCCGCAGCTCTCCAGCATAATCCTCATTAATGCCTTGCGATCCTTCAAATTCAGACACCAGCACACTTGGGAGGTCTTGGTCCCCCATGTCCTGTGGAAGACAAACACAATTTCTGCCTCTATACACCAGCCCTTTTTATCTGCCCCCACTCGCACCCCAGAACTGCAAACAAGCGTGGGCACAGAGCATCTTGGGTCCTGTAAATCCTAACAGGCATAGACCCAGTGCTTTTGTAAAGAGGAGACTGAAAGCAAGAAACAAGAAGTTTGGTTTTTTAGTTCATTATTTTAGCTGATTTAACTGTGTCATTCCTTAAGTACACAGAACTTCCCAGAAGGGTCTGAAAGCCCAGCATGGATTGCAAGAGTAACAATGGGCTAGGGTCCTAAAGGGATATGGTTAAAGATGACTGTTTCATGTACTCCCGCTGTAAACACTTTTTCCTCTCTCTGTAGTAAAGCTTGCTTTGCTGCATTTGCATGAACTTACTGGGCACCAGGATGTAAGCCCAGTGAGTGAAATAAATTTTGCAGATGCTTACAAAAGTGCTCAAGCCACCAGGATGAGATTTTTCTTAATAAAAGAGCAATGCGTCTGTTTGAGGCTGCTGCTCTATTTGGGCAGACAGCCCACTAGCTGATATAAAGACTCCTCCAAATTCTTAATTCGACTCTGGTGGTCTATCGATTGTGATCCCACAACACTGATATCTCTATCCAGACCCCTTCCCTATTTTAGTCTTATTTCCGTCCTGCGGCTGTGCTAGCCTCCTCTCTGCAGTTCATCCCAGCATTCCCCTGCATATGCAGTTGATGTCCACCTTTCTTGGTGTTGACAGCAGAGGTGCCCTGGGCAAAGGTTGGCAAGAATGTGTCGGTCAGCAGATCTAGGAGGCCACCTTCAATTCATGAGTCTACTGGGGCCATTCCTGGGCCAGCACCTTGATGAAAGTCTCATGAACCACCATGCAAATCCCTAGGGATTCCTGACACAAGACCTGCAGCATAAACAGTTAATATTTTTCAATTACTACATTTTCAGATGGGCTAGAGCGATAGCACAGTGGGTAGGGCGTTTGCCTTGCACACGGCCAAGTCGACTGACCCAGGTTCGATTCCTCTGCCCCTCTTGGAGAGCTCGGCAAGCTCCCGAGAGTATCTCACCTGCACGACAAAGCCTGGCAAGCTACCCGTGACGTATATGATATGCCAAACACAGTAACAAGCGTCACAATGGAGATGTTACTGGGCCCGCTCGAGCAAATCGTTGAACAACGGGAGGACAGTGACAGTAACAGTGACATTTTCAGATAATTTGTTAAGCAGCAAAAGATAACAAAACTAGATGGGGGGAGGCAGACAAAGTGATAGTACAGAGAGTAGGGTGTTTGCCTTGCATGCAGCCAACAGATTTGATCCCTGGCATCCCATATGATCATCCCCGCATCCCATATGATCATCACCTACATGCAACACCAGCGGTGATTTCTGAGTGCCGAGCCAGGAATAAAGGTAAAAGGTAAAGGCCCTCCCGTTGATCGTCGATTTGCTCGAGCGGGCCCAGTAACGTCTCCATTGGAGACTTTGTTGTTACTGTGTCTGGCATATCGAATACTCTCAGTAGCTTGCCAGGCTCTCCGAGAGGGGCGGAGGAATCGAACTTGGGTTGGCCATGTTGGCCGCATGTAAGGCGAACGCCCTACCCGCTGTGCTATCGCTCCAGCCAGGAATAAACTGAGCTTTTTGGGACAGGTATGCTGCCAAAACCAACCAACCAACCAACCAAACTGGTTTGGAGCGTGATGAATAGCTCAAAGGGCTGGGCACATTCTTTACAAGTGGCCCCAGCAGGCATATCTCTCTACCATCACCATCACCGGGATGGTAAATCACCGGGAACCCACAATCACAAGGACTAAACAAGCTCCTAAGTACCACTGGGTGTGGCAAAACCAGAGCCAAAGATAGAGATGGGGGAGGGGGACTAATGAATGCATTTTTATCTTTGAATCATGTGTTTACTAATCATGTTTAAAATTTGCTCAGAGCCTTGGGGGTGGGAGGATCCATACAGACCTACATGCCTTAGAAGCACGAGGCAGTGAGTTAGGATCTTGGGCTTCCTGGATGTGCTGAGTGCAGAACCAGCAGCTCCAGTGTTTGACCCTCCTGGCACTATCACAGGTGTCCTAGCTCTAGAGCACCACGGCCAACTGCACGAAAGCACAGTGACACATGCAACAGCACAGCCAAGGGTATGTCATCGCAACAGCAGCAGCAAAGGGATTGGAGCGGATGAAACAAAACTTCCACACAGTACATACTCCACATGTTGACCTGCTGGCATTTGAGTAAGCAGTTACAGAGCGTTTTCCAGATCAGATGTGAGCTTAGGGCCGCAGACATAGTATAGAAGTTAAACTCTTGCCTTGCACACAACTGACCCTGGTTTGATCCAGCACTCCATATGGTCAATCCTCACCAAAAGTGAGTTCTGAGCACAGAGCCAGGAGTAAACCCAGAGCACTGCCATGTGTGGCACCAAATCAAAAAAGAAAAGATGTGAATTTAGCTTTGCAGAGGAGGCAAGATCCTATCTGCTGCACTTTGGACATCTCGCTGGCCTGATAAGGAAGATGACCTAGGTCCAGGAGGTGGATCGGGGGTGATTACAGACTTTGCACTGGAAACCCCAGATTCAGTCAAGCTTTTCTGGGTGTGGCTCCTTCTAAAGGGAGAGAGAACAGTAATGACTGTCATCCTTCACACTGTTGCTGTCAGTGGTCGACTGTGGACAATGGATTGCCTCATGATTCAGGCTACGCCAGAGGAAGGAGGACCAGAATCATGATGGGCGTGCAGGAAGCAGCCCCTGGAGGAAGACCCCAAGCTCCCTCCCAACCCAACCCTCCTCTGGTTCCACACTCCCAACTTTATTTCTAGTCACAGGCTGCAGTCCAGCAAAGGGCAGGGACAGAGGTCAGATCCGCCCTCAGCCGTTGCCAGTGAGACACTGAAGATGGGGCACAGGAAGGTTTGCAGGTGGGGTTGGGGCTAAGGCTTTGCATGATCCCCAGGTTCCATCCCCAACACTGCAAACGCCCTCACGTACTGCCAGAACTGACTCCTGAGCACTGCCAGGTTGGCCCCAACTCTCCCCACCAATGAAAGGAATCTTTTCATCACTCTGAACTGAAAATAAATCGTCTGGATGGAGTGACTTAGAGAAACTGCATGCTCTGGTTTTCCACTTGGCCCAAGGAAAACAAAGTGAAGCACACCCCTCCCAGTGCCCAGCAATCGCCTGGACGTGGGACCTCAGGAGTGCAGAAGCCCTACAGTGGCAGAATAAAGGGCCTGGGACAGACTGTAGGAGCGCTGGGGTGGGTTATTTTCCAACCAGCCTTCAGCCTTTCCCCAACAGGTACTAGGGGCATGAAAGAGAAGTAACTGATTATGCGGTAGGACTGGGGGACAGAGCAGGGGTGAAGGTGCGACTGACCAAGCACCACTGCGTCCTGCAGCCGTGCAAGGCACAAGCCTGGACGCCCCCGGCACTTCTGGGGTGGTCTAGGAAGATCCAGCAGCACAGACCCACGCAGCACCACAGCCTCAGACCTTCGAACTGAGAATCCCTGGGAGTGGCAGGGCCCCCTGAACACTCTTTGAGAGCCCCCAACCCCCAAGTGCACAACAGTGAAAGTGCACAAAGAAAGCATTTCTTTTTCAGCCTATCCTCCAAGCAGCACAGCGGGTAGGGCGTTCGCCTTACAAGCGGCCAACATGGCCGACCCGAGTTCGATTCCTCCGCCCCTCTCGGAGAGCCCGGCAAGCTACCGAGAGTATTCGATATGCCAGACACAGTAACAACAAAGTCTCCAGTGGAGACGTTACTGGGCCCGCTCGAGCAAATCGACGATCAACGGGAGGGCCTTTACCTTTTACCTTTACCTCCAAGCACCAAGTCCCTCTGGGAGCAACTACCCTGAGTAATTTCCTGAGCCCCGCACAAGAGCATTCTACGCCTGGGCAGAGCACTTCCTTTGGCGGGGGCAAAAGTGCTCAGGGCTGACTCCAGGCTCGGAGCTCAGTTAGGACGCTCTGCCGCGCCCGGGCCACGCGAGATCAGAGGTCACCATACACCCGCATGAAAGAGCCCCATCCACGACATTCTGGGACACACTCACTTCGGAAGAAGCTCCGGATTCAGTCCTGGAAGCTCCTCTGACAGCTGGCCCGAAAGCACCTGGCCCGGGCCTAGCCGCCGCGGGCACTAGCCGGAACTTCGCCCCGCCCCCGGCCGCCCAGGCCCCGCCCACTCGGTCTCCCTGGCCCCGCCCCGCCCCGCCCCCGACTCCGCCGCGCCGTCGCGGAGCCCGGGAGCCGGGAGGGCCGGTCCGGGCGGCGGGCGCGGCCGCTCCCTGGCAGCCCGGGCCGGGGTGGGCCCTGGCCACGCCCGCCTCTCGCTGGGCTCCCTCGTGGACCCGGAGCCTTGCGTGTCCTGCGCGGCAGAAAGCCAGCGCGTGTCAGGGACACTAGACGCTAGGCAAAATGAAAAGCGGGCGGAAATGAAAGGAGGAACGCTGGCGCAGCCAGGCCTGCCTGGAACGCACGGGCGTCAAGAGGGTTTTGCTGTTTCTCCCGTAGACCGTGAGGAAGCGGCGGCACCGTGCCCTGAGAACCGCCGGGGCCTCGGTCAGCAGGCCCAGCGCAGGGGCTCAGGGCAGCCGCCGCGCAGCCGGATGGCCAGGAGTTCAAACGCCGCGTGGCTCTGCCGGCCGATTAGGTTCAGCAACAAGGATCGCGCGTGGTCAGCAGCCCTTCTGTGCTCCGTTGTGAGAGAGTCTATGACTCTGGAGCCTCCCAGCCGCTTGGGCCTGAGCCGCTGCTGTCTGATCTCTGTGCGCAATCCCGGGACGGGCGCCACGAAAGGGCTGTGAGCCCCCGGAATGCACTAGAACTTAAGATTCATTTGAAGTTTGAATACTTTCCCCATCTCCCTCTTTGGTCATCCGCAGAGGTGCTGGGGGTGCGCTTCTCACAACACAGTGCTCTGGGGACTGATGCCAGTGTTCTCACATGCAGAGCACTCAGGCCAGTCCTCCAGTCCATCTCCTGGGCTCAGGTAGTTAATTCCTACTTACTTCAGGATGCTGACCAGTTATTTATGTTTTTGTTTGGGGGCCACACCCAGCAGTGCTCAGGGCTTTCTCTTAAACTCTGCACTCAGGGATCAATCTTGGCAGGCTCATGGCACCGTATGGGGCGTTGAGGATCAAACCTGCATTGGCCAGGTGCAAGGCAAACACCCTACGCTCTTGAAGGTAGCTTTGGCCTCTGTTGTCCAGTTAAGTTCAGCAACATGAATCCACATACTGGCACATCCCTTCTGTGTTCAGTTGTTAGAATGATATGACTTTGGAGCTTCCCCGTGCTACTTCCTGCTGCTCCAAAGGTAATCTCTACTCTGAATTTATATGTATGTGTATGTGGTATATGTGTATCATTTGTCTACACTGATGGGCATGCTTTTTGCATTATACATTAATAGAACTGTATTTTTATAGTCTTTGGTGACCGGCTCACTTCCAAGGTTATCTCTGTTGAATTATTTTTCACCCTTTATAGCAGATATAGAATCATTTGTCTCTTGTCTAGTGTTGGGCCAGAGATATAGCTCGAAGAGCTGAGTGCGTGCTTGCACTTGGGAGGCCTGAATTTCTTCCCTGGCACCACATGGCTACTTGAGCACAACCAGGAGTGACTCCGACCCAGCGAGAAATAGCCCCTGGGCACTGCTGGGTGTGGCCCCAAATTAAAAATAAACAAAAATAGTGATGTCAATAAATACACCTCAGTCTACTTTTATGCAATTTAATATTTGAATTTCTTTATATAAATGGGTTTAAGCATTGACCATTTCTACAAGGACACTCTGAATTTGAGCATTTCTTACAAGAATTTGCATGAAATGCCGTTAGTGGGTCTGAACAGAGGTTCCTGCTGCTACATTAACAAACAGCCCTAAGTTAAGAGGGCCTTTGCTCTCTGACCCACCAGTGGCAAAAGGTCGAGCATCTACATTACCTCACAATTCCCCCACAACATGGTTCTCATCTCCTAATATCTTTGAGTGGACTGTAAACTTCTTTCCTGTGCAAAATTTGGAGAAAGTTGATCTGGCACTTCTCTTTGGTACAGATAAACAGGGTTTTTTTTTGTTTTGGGGGTACACCCAACGATGCTCAGGGGTTACTCCTGGCTTTGCATTCCAGAATTACTCCTGGTGGAGCTCCAGGGACCATATGCCAGGGATGGAACCCAGGTCAGTAGCATGCAAGGCAATCACCCTACCCACGGTACTACCTCCACAGCCCCAGTGTAAGCATTTTTTTTGGCTTTTTGGGTCACAGCTAGTGATGCGCAAGGGTTACTTCAGGCTCTGCGCTCAGGAATCTCTCCTGGCAGTGCTCGGGATACCATATGGGATGCTGGGAATCGAACCCGAGTCAGCTACATGAAAGGTAAATGCCCTACCCGTTGTGCTATAACTCTAGCCCCACAATGTAAGCATTTTTAAATCACATCTTTTGATGCCACACCCGGCAGTGCTCAGGGTTTACTCCTGACTGGTGCTCAGGGATCACTCCTGGTGGGGCCTGGGAGACCAACCATATCTGGTACTAGGAATCCAACCCAGGCTGGCCACATGCAAGGCAAGCACTCGATCTGCTGTACTTTTGCTAGGGCCGTAAATTAGCTACATTTGAGTCAGAGCATCCTTCCTAAAGAAACTGGTACAGGAGGTAAGATATCTCTCTTTTATGTAGCCAACACTATTTCATTCTTCATCACCACATATGGCCTCTGAAGAACTGCCAGCATGGCCCCAAACCCAAAATCTCTCTCTGTCTCTGTATCTCTCTGTCTCTCTGTCTCTATCTCTCTCTCTCTCACACACACACACACACACACACACACACACACATATACACATACACATACGCACAGATGCAGGTTCACTCTGGAAGAGCTAAAAGGCTGTCCGGTGACTAGTCACTGGTAAAAGGTAAGCTGAGTTGCTTTTTAGTCTCCTCTTCAGGTGAACTTGTGAGGTGCTCTGAAGGAGAGGAGTGGGCACCTGCCTGTGCATGTGCCCTTGCCTGGCTAGGACACTCAGGAGCTCCATCTTAGCCACAGACCTGCTTTGTCCTGCTAGAGAATTCCAGAAAAGGCTGGAATTTAGTGCATATGTTTGATCATGTTTGCCTTGCATGTGGAAGATCCGGGCTCAATCCCCCCCATCCTATATGGCCCCCCGAGCACCGCCAAGAATAATTTCTGAAAGTGCAGAGCTAGGAATAACCTCTGAACATCGCTGGGTACTGTAGGATAACACTGTTTTGTCCTTCCTTCATAGCTTTATAGACGGGCTGGAGCGATAGCACAGCGGTAGGGCGTTTGCCTTGCACGTGGCCCGCCCAGCCGACCTTGGTTCAATTCCTCCACCCCTCTTGGAGAGCCCAGCAAGCTACGGAGAGTATCTTGCCCGCACGGCAAAGCCTGGCAAGCTACCCATGACGTATATTCAATATGCCAAACACAGTAACAAGTCTCACAATGGAGACATTACTGGGCCCGCTTGAGAAAGTCTATGATCAATGGGAGGACAGACAGACAGTGCTTCATAGCCTCAGGTAGTTTAGGTATATTGGGTTGCTCCCATTACAGTGCTCCCATTCCTCTGTATTTATTTGTAACTTCTTTGTGCTCTGTTTGATGTCGGTGGGCCCCACGGGTGACTTATGTGAAGTGGGGAGGAGAAAGACGGTCACTTTCTCCCCACCTGCCTCTGCCACCTGGGACCCAGGGTTACTGGGTTCTTGTCTCGCCTCGCAGAAAGGAATTTCAGGAGTAGACAAGCAGTGAAGTAAATAGATTTTATTTGGAGGATTTCTAGGTGCGGGGGGGTGGGGAGAGAGAGAGCGAGAGAGAGAGAGAGAGAGAGAGAGAGAGAGAGAGAGAGAGAGAGAAAGAGAGAGAGTAATGTTAGGCACGAAAGCATGAAAGTACACATCTCAAGAGGGGAGATGTGGGCAACACATGTGCTCGGGCACCACATGTGCTTGGCCACGTGGGCGCAAGCAGCACATGGGCTCAGGCAGCATATGCGTGCCCTTCCTTTGTTCACGGTGGCCTTTATAGGGTTTTTCCAACCTGCCCCCACGTGGGGGCTTCTTCCCAGGTAAAAGTCCGTTGCTAAGGAGGTTACCAGGGAGGTTGGGAGTGGTGATGGTCTTCTTTGGGCTGGATCGCTGGAGTTAACCGGATTGAAAGGGAGGTTGGAAGATTTTTGGAAAAGAGGAATTTCATGAGGAGGAGGCCCATATCTTCACAGGGTCTGGGGATGGTCTTATCAGGGCTTTGTTTTCTGTATCCGCAAAGTGGGTCATTCCTAGAATTCTTCTTCCATAAAACTTTGTTTCATTGCAAGGGGCCTTTCCCTATCTACCTGCCTACATCATATCGACTTGTAAATATTGTCTTTCTCTTCTCCCTAAGTCCTTTGCATAGTTTATTCAGAGCAATGTCCTTTTTGTATGGACACAAGAAGACATGCTTTTGTAATGTGACTCTCAGTGATATTTCCCTCCTGGGCATCTGTTCTCTCACCTAAGCCTCAGCTGCCTTTACTTCCTGGCACCCCCAAAAGCAGGGTCCCGATGAGGGACTGGATGGAACCAGGGCAAGTGGTAAGCTATGTACTACCCTGGCATCGAGATGGGCTTGCCCAAAGTGCCATAATGCTTAACTCTAAGTTAAGAGATGTAGGATAACACTGTTCTGTTCTTCCTGCATAACCTCAGGAATAGTTGATAGTTTATTGGACTGAGGAAAAGAGAAAAACACCTTAAGAGGTATCTTGCCCTTGAGCAGTCAGGAAGGGCTTTCTTATGTTGATTTGGCTACCTGACTGGGTGGAGTGTCAGCCCAGACTAGAAGGGAGCTGGAGAAGGAGAGAGAGGGGCTGCAGAGGGACCACGGAGAGACTAGCAAGGGGAACGTGTGCTTGAGAGAACCTAGGCCCTTCATAACATAAGGTTCTTCTATAGGATAAACTTCCTTGTAATAAACTGCCACTAAGATCAACCGGCCTGGCCCTCATCTCTTCCTTCGTCTGCCCTTGGCCATCAGCCGTCCAGAGAGCCCGCGAACACACAACCTTCAGCGTGCGTAGTTTTTTACAAGCTTGGTCATGGACAAATGCGGTCATGATCCAAAAAGTAATAACTAGATTTGGACCCTGCTAGGGTTAGGAATGATTAATCTAATCTGGTCTGAGCACTGTAGTCTGAGTCTGTGGCAAGATGTTCCCAGGAGAGCTGCCCTACAAGCCTCAATGGTATCTCCTACTGTGTCCATACAAAAATAACTAGTATTGAGATGTTGATAGTTATTGGACTGAGGAAAGGAGAAAAACAGTTTAGGAGGTGCTTTTCCTGGGGCAGTCAGGAAGGGCTTTCTTATGTTGATTTTGCTACCTGACTGGGTGCAGTGTCAGCCCAGAGTGCTGGGGAGTTGGAGAGACAAGAGAGCTGGAGAGAGAAGAGAGCAGGGTGGCAAGATGGACCGCGGAGAGGCTAACAAGGGAGACAGAGAGAGAAGAATGTAGAAGAATACAGGAGCAGGCACGTGGAGAGAGCCCAAGCTGCGAGATGGAGCGCGGAGAGACAGGAGGAGACGAGAATGAGGAGCAGTGAGACCAGAATAGGAGGCTCAGAGAGACTGGGACAGGCACGTGGGGAGAATGGAATAAACGGCAACTGGTCAATCAACCGGCTTGGCCCTTGTTTCATCCGCTGTCTGCCCGAGGGCCCGGGCCGCTGGAACCTGGGCAGCCAGGGGAAGAGCCATCGGGGCCACCCCCTGGCTGCAGTCGGAGATTTTACAGGGTACGACTCAAAAAGAAAAAAAAAATCCCTGCAAAAAGGGGAGAAGAATCTGGGCTGAAGCGATAGCACAGCAGGGATCCCATACGGTCCCCCGAGCACCACCAGGAGTAATTCCTGATTGCAGAACCAGGAGTAACTCCTGTGTATCGTTGGGGATGACCCCAAAAAGCCAAAAAAAATAAAAATGGGGAGGAGATATGAACAGAAACTTCTTCAAAGAAGAAATACAAATCAGGGCTGGAGTGATAGCACAGTGGGTAGGGGGTTTACCTTGCACGCGGCTGACCCGGGTTCGATTCCCAGCATCCCATTTGGTCCCCTGAGCACCACCAGGGGTGATTCCTGAGTGCAGAGCCAGGACCAACCCCTGTGCATCGCCAGGTGTGACCCAAAAAGCCAGAAAAAAAAAAGGATATATAAATTAAAAAGCATATGAAAAATGCTCTATATCGTTATCAGGGAAATGCAAATCAAAATAACATGAGATATCACCTCACACCACCGAGACTGGCACTCATCAATAAGCACAACAACCAGTGGTGGCGAGAAAAAGGGAAGAGAAAGGGACCCTCACTCACTGCTGGTGTGAATATCAACTGGCCCAGCCTTTTTGGCAGATAATATGGATATTCCTCAAAACACTAGGAATTGAGCTTCCGTATGACCCAGAGATTCCACTCCTGGGAATTTGCCCCACAGGCCCCAAATGTACGAATCAGAACACAAATCAGGAAAGACATCTGCATTCCTATGTTCATTGCAGCAACAGTAGCCAAAACATTGAGACAACCCAAATGCTCAGGAACAGATGAATGGATACAGAAACTACACATTCGCAACAGAGGAATACCCTGCAACCTTAAGAAAAGATGAAGTCGCAACACGGACGGATCTGGAGAGAATCACGTTGCGTGAAATCAGCCAGGAGAGGGACTCAAAACGCTCTCATATGTGGGATACAAAGAGACATCGTGGGGGAGCACCACATGCCCCGTGGTACTAGGTATGGAGAGCAGGGGGACTGGTCTGCAGGAGGAAGCTTGGTTCTTGGGCAGGGTCACGTGAGGGGACAAGTCCGGGAAGGGAGTACTAGGACAGCGGGGGAGGGGAAAACGCCCACCAGAGCCAGACTGGGAGTGGGGGAGACCTGGGGACACCAGCGGAGCACAGTGGGCGCTGGTGAGGGGATTGGTGTTGGAACAATATACATGTTTACCTCGCAATAGTGGACCCGGGTTTCGCAGCGGGCACCCCTTAGGATGCCCCAGCTCAGCATGAGCGACCCCCGAGCCAAGCGCCAGGCGGAAGCCCTGAGCCCTGCCAGGTGTGGCCTCAAAACAAACAAAAAGGGTCGCTTTTGACGAGAACTGGTTCTGCTCCGAAAACGTGATCGCCAAAACGATGACTGGTGGGGAAAATAAATGGGTCCAGGAGTCACCAGGGTAAGACTTGCTCAGGGGTCGCCGCCTACGACTCCAGGGTCCGGCCCAGCACCTCCATCTGCGGCCACGGGGGTCTGCCCCTGACTGGCGCCCTCCTGCCCTCCCCGCGCTCCCTCCTCCCTCCCTGCCCCGCGCTTTCCCCTCCCCCAGGCTCGCCCCTCTCGGGCCCCTCTCGCCCTCCCAGGGGCTGGAGCGCCCGCGGCCGGGGAGCGCGCACGCAGCACGGCTGCCGCCGGGCGGGAGGGCGCCGGGCGGGCACGCGCACTCGGGGCCGCCGCGGGCGCGCGCGCAGGGCTGACGCCGACACGCACCGCGGGCGCGCGCACGCAGGCCGCCGCAGGCACGCACCGCGAGCGCGCACGCAGGGGCGCGGGCGCGCGCACGCGGGTGGCTCCGGGCCGGGAAGCCGCGCGGCGGGAGGCTCGGATGTGGCGGGAGGTGCGTGCGCGCCGGGCTCGGCGTGGGGTCGGGGCGCGATGGAGCCCCTCGGGCTCGGGCTGAGGGCGCCTGTCCGGGGGGGAGGGGGCGACCCTCGGGGCCTGGGGCTCGGGAGCGGCGTGGGGGGGCGGTCTGGAGGCGCCTCGACTCTCCCCGCGGGCGGGCCCCGGCCCGCGTGCGCGCCCGCCCCTCTGCCCCTGCCCCCTGCCCGCCGCCCCGCTGCCCTCTGCCCGCGCGCGGGGCAGCGAGGGGCCCCCGCGGCCCCCGCCCCACCTGTCGCCCGCCTCCCCGCAGACCCCCGACCGGCCCCACCATGTCGTACATGCTCCCGCACCTGCACAACGGCTGGCAGGTGGACCAGGCCATCCTGTCGGAGGAGGACCGGGTGGTCGTCATCCGCTTCGGGCACGACTGGGACCCCACGTGCATGAAGATGGACGAGGTCCTGTACAGCATCGCCGAGAAGGTGGGTCCTGCGGGGCGGGGCCGGACCAGGCCTCTCCTGGGGTCGCGCCGAGCCTGGCGCCCGCCCCTGTCCCTTGGCGGGCTCTCCGGCCCCCGGCGCGTCGCTCGCCGGACCCCGCCTTGGCGGCAGGGCCCGGGGCAGGAGGCAGGGCGCACCCGCACCCGCACCCGCACCCGCGCCCCGGCCCGCCAGCGCCCCGGCTGGTCCCTGGCCAAGCGCTTCATTCCGTTCCCGCGGTTTTTCTCGCTTGGGGTGGCTTTGACTTGGGGTTTTGGCGAGCGAAGCAACGGGCGAAAGGGCGAGCGCGCTGGGGCGTCAACGAGGGAGCGCGCAGACTTTCAGAAGTCGTTGGAGGGAGGAGTTACTCGTTTTGGTTTTGTGCTGGCTCGGGGGCCACACCTGGCAGTGCTTGGGGACTCCTGGCTCCGCACTCGGGAATCGCTGCTGGTGGCGCGGGGACAGCGCTCTGGGGTGAGGGAGGTCGAGCTGTATCGAGCCAGCGGCAGGCAAGGCCAGTGACCTGCCGGCCCTACTCTCAGCGAGATGAGGCTTTTAACCAAAGTCAGAGGAACGTTAGCATGGCCACACCGCTTCCCAGAAGTGGGGGTGTTCTTACCCCGGGCTAGAGCAGAGCCTTTGAGTCAGTGCTCACCGAGGGCGTTGCTTCCTTGTGTCTCAGGAAGAGCACAGGCGTCCTGGTGCACCCTCCTTTCGGGCATGGGGGAGAGGTTGCTGGGCCTTGGGGCCGCCTCCTCGGGACTCCTGGGTTTAGGACCTGAACTGGAACGTCCTGTTTGACTTTGGGTCACCGGAGCTGTTGAGTTTGTAAGTTGAGTAAGGGGGGGAGGATCCGAGCCACTTGCCTTGCACATTGCAGACCTGGGTTCCATCCCCGGCATCCCGTATGGTCCCCTGAGCATTGCCAGGTGATGACATTTGACATCCCTGCCCCTCCCAACCCCTGCCCAAAAAAGACCCCAGGGAATTCTTTCTTTCCTTTTTCTTTTTTGGTCGTTGGGCCACACCCAGTAAGCTCAGGGCTTACTCCTGGCTCTGTGCTCAGGGACGTTATGTGGTGCTGGGGATTGAACCTGGGCTGTGGTGGGCAAGGCAAACGCCTTGCCTACTGTACCATCACTCAGCACTTGGGAGTCTTACGGGGGCGGGCACACTCTGATGCTCGGGGTACCCCCAGCTCTGTGGGAGAGGGACCGTGAGGTGTGGGGGATGGAACTGGGGTTGGCTGTGTCTCCACAGCCCTCTCCGTGCCCTCCAACTTGATTCCTGGGAATTCTGATGGTTTTTAGAAGCCCACCTTGGAGGTTGGGGTCAAAGACGGCTGGTAAGACTCGCTGGGGACTTGGGAGAGCAGCCCCATGCCAGTGCTCAGGGTGAGCCTGGGCAGGCTCTGCCCTCTGGCGCTGGACAGGTCTGGCACTGCTGGAGCTCAGGGTCACCGTCTGCACAGACTGGGAATTACTCAGGGCGCGTGTTCTGGATTCCGCCTTGCTCTGTAAGCTCCAGCCAACTTCCAGATCCCACTGCCCTCGGGAAGGCGGGTGGCTAGAGCTGTGAGGGCCCTTTGGGAAAATTCAGCAAGATCCTCTTGGCTAGGAGACAGATTTTATCTGTTAACGTGAGTCTTGTAAGTCTTTAGGGACTTTGAACGGTTCTTCTCTAACCCTGTGTGTCGCTGTCACTAGTGGGTTTTGTTTGATAGTGAACCTGTTAATAATGGTTGGGCTCACTTCGAATATTTTTCTGTGGCCTTTCAGTCTTTTTGTGCAAAATTTGGAATTCTTTAAAAATTAACTTTTATAGTCGTTCAAAATGTGAGTTTGAAATGACTTATTTTCTTCTTAGTATAAAGTCACGATATGGGGGCTGGGAGGGAAATGGGAGGGAAACTGGGGCCACTAGTGCTGGGAAATGACACTCACTGGTGGGGGGATGGACGTTGGGACATTGTGTGACTGAAACCCAGTCATGAGCAACTTTGTTATGCTCTATCGTGTTGATTTAGTTGGGGGAAAAAAGAACACCAAAAGTCACAATATGTTTTTAGGATTCTGGAAACATTTTTTGGGGGGATGCTCACAGGAGTTTTTCACATTTAGTATGAGGGACAGTTTAACTTTAAAAATCTCTTTCTGCAGAAATGGCAGGTAGTAGGGGGGCGCGCTCATGTCCCAGCGTGGGTCGACTGGCCGTGTTGTAGGGCCTGGCTGTGCTCCTCCCCTGGGACACTGTGAGTCCCACCTGCTCTTTCGCGGTGTCCGCCCTCGTCCTGCTGCCCAGCTCGAGCTGTCTCTTCAGGTTTCACTCTGGCCCCAGGTTGGTGGCGTGATGCCGCCGCCCCTCCCTGGTACCTTAGAAGAGAGGTGGGAACTCCAGGCTGTTTTTCTGTCTTGTTGACAGTTCACTATTGCTGTCATTACACAGCTCGTTATGGGTAAGAATGAGTAGAATGTTTAGTGTTAGTCCTTGTTTTTAAATCAGAGTTTTAGCTTTAGCATTGCTGTTTGACACTTCAGAATTTTAGGCGACTACTCACACCTTCTCAACTCCCCACACGTGCTGTCCAGGGCCAGTGTCCCTGTCAGTTGCCCTGTCCTGCTCTGCCCAGGCCCGGGTCCCCGACAGTCGCCCTCCTCCTCCTCCTCTTGGAGCCACCAGATCAGTCTGAGTCAGGAGTCACGTCTTGTAGTTCTCTTGTGTTGGTTATTTATGTTCCACGCAGGGAAACCATTGGTAGTTGTTTTTACTTCTTTGCGTGTTTCACAGCATAATCACCTCACACTCACCTCACCTCATTTCGTACACGTTTCTGCGAAAGACACGGGTCTATCTTCTTAGGTCCACACGGCCTCCCGTTGAGTCTGCAGTGTGCTCCTGTCAGGGGTGTTTCGTGTGTGTGTGTGTGTGTGTGTGTGTGTGTGTGTGTGTGTGTAGAATTCTGCACAGAGCCAGGAGAGAGCTCAGAGGACTGGGCGCGTGCTCTGCTGCCAAACCGGCTCTTCCTGGGAGCAACTCGAGCACTGATGCAGGTCTAGACCCCCACGGCACTCCCTACCCCTGTGTCTGTCCTGAAGACTGACCCCCAAAGTTCAGAGTTCATAAGAGGCGAAACCTCAGTGGTTTCACTAGGGCTCACATGTGCTGCTAAGATTGTCAGCCTTTCCTTTGTTCTTCTGGCTGTGAGGGAGAGCAGGCTCGGGGGGCTGCGCTCTGCTCCATCCCTGGCCCCAGAAACTGTACAGACCTGATGGGAACGATTTCAGTTTTGATTCTGTTTTATTTGGAGGGACCATGCCCCGTGGCGCCTGAGGGGCTGGGGAACTGGTCTCGGAGCCCAAATTGTTGAACTTGGCCTTCTGTGCTCTGCCACTGGAGCTGCATGCCTGGTCTCAGGGATCGTTCTCCCACAGGCGCTGGAGCGATGGTACAGCAGGGTGGGCACTTGCCTTGCATGTGTCGACCAGGGTTCAGTCCTGCCGTCCCATGTGGTCCCCCGAGCACTGTCAGGAGTGTTTCCTGAGTGCAGAAGCCACTGGAAACCCCTGAGGAGCATTCCCGAGTATGGCCCAAACCCTGGAAGAATAAAGATGTTGGGCCAGTAGCATACATGTGTTCGTGTTTGCTGTGTATTTACGTCTCTGGGTACTGCTGTAGCCGTCAGCATGGGGTCAGGCTTCTTGAGTCGGGCTTGAGTAACTGAGGTACCTGTTGTACAGCCGTGTGAAGGCGAGTCAGCATGAACCCATCCTGATGAAAAGTTCGTTTCATCATAGCGGCGTAGTAGCTGCCATAACTGTTGTCTCAGAAATTCTCAAGTTCTACTTGGGCGTAGAGCTGGTCAAGGCCATTGACAGTTTTAAGAACTGTTTGCCATGCAGTTCTCATGACTTTGAAATGAATTGTCTGAAAATGTAAAAATTAATGTGTCAGAAACACATTTCTGGGCTGGTAAGATAGTCCAGGGGGTTATGTGTTTGCCTGGCCCACGGCTGACCAGATTTGATCCCCGAGCCTGCCAGGGTGATCCCACAGTGCAGAGCAATATGGTAAGCGCTGAGACTGCTGGCATGGCCCCAAGCCCAGAAACGCACAATGCCAGTTGTTTGAGAATGTTTCTGGAAGTGAAGGTGGTTTCATACTCAAGTCGGGGGCAGGTAGCCTGGGCCAGGCCCTGCCGGCTGCTGCTCACACAGGACTGCTGGGCCCCATTGTCAGGACGTGGTAAGAGAGAGGCTGCGAGTTCGAGGCCTAGGCCGGAGGGCTGTTGCAGGTGATTCCAGGTGTGTGTGTGTGTGGGGGGGGGCTGCTGTAGATGGTTGAAAGCAGTTTCCTAAGGGGGTAATACCCACCCCCACCCCGCCCCCTGGAGCTGTCAGGAAGTGCAGTAGTAGCCAGGTGCCGCTAGGGGGCACTTTCCGCTTATGTTTTAAAAAGTCGATTTCCAGGAGGTGTCTTGTGATCCCCATATCCCCCTCGCCAAAAAAAGGGGACAGTGGGTCAGATAAGTCTGGGAACCCCTGGGACCTACAAGGAATGGTATATTGGGGCTAGAGCACTAGTACAGCGGGTAAGGCATCTGCCTTGCATGCAGCTGACTCCGGTTTGATCCCTGGCATCCCCTGTGGTCCTCTGAGCACAGAGCCAGGAGTAACCCTTGAGCATTGCTGGATGTGCCCCAAAACAAAACAGAAGAAAAAATGCATGTATGAGGGGCTGGAGCAATAGCACAGCGGGTAGGGCGTTTGTCTTGCACGCGGCCAACCTGGGTTCGATTTCCAGCATCCCATATGGTCCCCCGAGCACCCTGCCAGGAGTAATTCCTGGGTGCAGAAGCCAGGAGTAACCCCTGTGCATCACCGGGTGTGACCCGAAAAAGCAAAAAAAAAAATGCATGTATGAAAAACAGTGTAATGGGGCTAGAGAGAGAAGAAGAGGAGGAAAAGATTAGAGAAGGGAAAGAAAGGTGAAATTTGTGTAGGTTTCTGATTCTGTTTTTGTCTGGGCCACATCAGTGGTGCTGGGGACCCTGTGGTGCCCCCATGTGAAGCTCCCGCTCCTGCCCTTAACATTCTCTGGCCCTGGTTTTATATAGAAAAAATTCTAATCAGTGTTCATGTATGTTTGCTGCAAGGATAGTAGGTGAACGCTGTTTTAGATAGGAAACTGACACAAGTAAGTTTAAAGCCCACTTTACTTTTTAAATTAATTTTTATTAAAAACACCGTGATCTACAAAGTTGTTCATTATATAGTTGTTCCAAGCATTTAGTGTTCCAACATCACCAGTGTGACCTTCCCTCCACCAATACCCCAGTTTCCCTCCCAATCCCAATCTGTGCCCTTTAGCGCTTAACAAATTTACTTTATATTGCTTATTCCAATAAAGCTTTAAAAACTGGCAAATAGAACGATCGGAAAATAAATCAGTAAAGGCCAATTAGTGATCACTGTATGAGTTTGACCTATAATAATTATTTCTCACCTGTCATTAATAACACTTAAAGCAAATCTGTGGTAATATGTTTTGGAGTTTACATGTGGGTAGGGCGTTTGCCTTGCAAGCGGCCAACATGGCCGACCCGAGTTCGATTCCTCCGCCCCTCTCGGAGAGCCCGGCAAGCTACCGAGAGTATTCGATATGCCAGACACAGTGACAACAAGGTCTCCAATGGAGACGTTACTGGGCCCGCTCGAGGTAAGGCCTAATTATGTAAATTTTCCCCTTACACTTTACATAAACACTGTGGTTTACAAAGTTGTTCATGATGATTTGTTGCAGGCATTCAGTATCCCCACACCAGTCCCACCACCATTATACCTCCGCCATTGTCCCCAGTTTTCCCGAACGCCCCTTAAGCCTGCACCAATAGCAGGCCCTTAGTGACTTATTTTACATTGCTTGTTATCAGTAACTTACTAACAGAATGATCAGAAAATGTTTCCTTAGAAGAAAGTTTGTGAAAATTGTTGTATCATTCCATGGAGCCATTGAGTGTGGTGGTTGTTGCCTGTGGTGATGGGGGCTTAGCCTGAGGTCACCTGTATGTGTGGGGGGTTGTTGGCCTGTGGTGACCGTGTGTGTCTGTGGGGGGGGGTCAGCCTGAGGTGCCCTGTATGTTGGGAGGAGGTAGTATTGGCCAGAGGTGACCTGTATGTGTGGCAGGGGGTGTTAGCCTGTGGTGAACTGTGTGTGTGTGGGGAGAGGGGGGGATCAGCCTGAAGTGACCTGTGTGTATGCGGGGGGTGTCAGCCTGAGGTGCCCTGTGTGTTGGGGGGGGAGGTAGTACTGACTGTGTGTGTGTGTGGGTGTGGGTGTGTGTGTAGGGTGTCAGCTTGAGAGGTGCCCTGTGTGTATGTGGGTGGGGGTTGTCAGCCTGAGGTGCCCAATGTGTTGGGAGGAGGTAGTATTGACCTGAAGTGACCTGTATGTGTGGGGGGGGGTGTTGGCCTGTGGTGACCAGTGTGTGTGTGGGGGGGTCAGCCTGAGGTGTCCTGTGTGTATGCAGGGGGTGTCAGCCTGAGGTACCCTGTGTGTTGGGGAGGAGGTAGTATTGACCTGTTGTGACGTGTGTGTGTGTGTGTGTGTGTGTGTGTGTAGGGTGTCAGCTTGAGAGGTGCCCTGTGTGTATGTGGGTGGGGGTTGTCAGCCTGAGGTGCCCTATGTGTTGGGAGGAGATAGTATTGACCCGAGGTGACCTGTATGTGTGTGTGGGGGGGGTGGCCTGTGGTGACCAGTGTGTGTGTGGGGAGGGTCAGCCTGAGGTGTCCTGTGTGTATGCAGGGGGTGTCAGCCTGAGGTGACCTGTGTGTTGGGTGGAGGTAGTATTGGCCTGAGTTCACTTGACCTGTGTGTGTGTGTGAGAGGGGGTCAGCCAGAGGTGGCCTGTATATGGGGGGAGGAGGGTCAGCTTGTGCAGTGTGGGAGAGGGGAGCAGTGCTGGCTCTTAGTGCATGGAAGTATTTGTTAGGAAGAAGCAACGTGTGACTCCTAGGTGAGTGAGTTCACTGGACTCAAACGTCCCTAGACTGTTGGTTATCATCTGGTGTCCTGGGGGGGCATTTCTCTCCGGGGCCAGCACAGTCAGAGTGAGGTCAGATAGGAGGGTGCTAGGAGCACGGAACTTCCACCCTCCCTGTGTGCTCACTCCCTTCTTCCACGAGGACCCCGGGCAGGTTGGTCTGGGGTTGGCCACGGCCTCTGCGAGGGTCCTGTTTCCCGAGGAAGCTCAGTCTGACTCCTGGCATCACGGCCTCTCTTTTGCGGGGACACAGTTCAGCCAGTTGACACATAAGGTGGCCTGAGTGCTCTGGAACGCGGCGGCCAGCCTGGGAGCCTACAGATGTTGTGTTCTCTGTTATATAGATTGTACTTCAGGAGTTTACCCTTGAGAAGTAATGAAAGAAGTTTGAGCACAGATTTAAGGGTAAGACATAAGTGAATTATTAATGCTAATTGAAAATATGGATTTATGTTTTTAAAAAATAATGAAAAACAGGAGAATAGTATGATAGTTGCATAGACATTTGATGGCTTATTTTGTTACTGTAAAAGTTAGGGGAAATATATGTGAGAAAATGTGCATAATTAAAAGCAGGATGCAATTTTTTTTTTTTTTTTTTTTTGCTTCCTGGGTCACCCCTGGCAGTGCTCAGGGGACCATATGGGATGCTGGGAATTGAACCCGGGTCGGGCACGTGCAAGGCAAACGCCCTACCCGCTGTGCTATCGCTCCAGCCCCAGGATGCAAATTATCATTGTTTCATTAAAGTATGGGGGCAATTTTACATAGTGTAGTATATACAAGGAGAGCCGGCAACAAGTATACTACAGGGGCAGGTTGTGGCTTGAGTGGGAGAGCAGTGACACCGTGGGCTTAACCCTGGCACAGCGGTCTGGGAGTGACCCCTCCCCCCACAAGAGGGGAGGAGTGCCATACGTATCTCTAGCACTGAGTTCTGTTGGGATTAGAAGTGATTTTTTTAAAAAATTTTGAGCCACGCCCAGCATGCTCAGGGGTTGTTACTCCTGGCTTTGTACTCAGAAATTGCTACGGGTGAGGCTCGGGGGACCACACGGAATGCCAGGGTCGGCTGTGTGCAGGCAAGTGCCCTATCTGCTGTACTGTCTCCAGCCCTGTAGAAGTGGTTTCTTTATGGGTTTGCAAGTCTTTGCTGAACTTGAAAATAAAGGGAAAACCAGGAAGTCCAATATTGCCTGTGGTGCTGAGTGAGAACAACTTAATACTTGCTGCCTGTCTTCCAGGGTCAGTGTCCAGAGGGCTGAATCCTGGGTCCTCCTGAGTGATATGCCCGAGTGTTTTCTCCTGGAGGTGCTCGGGGACCATACAGAATGTCAGGGATCAAACCCAGGCCTGCCACATGCAAGCATGTTACCCCCTGTATTATCACTCCGGCCCCTCAGTTGTTTTCTTAGGTTGACTGAAAAATAGTTTGTTGGGGAGTTAAACAATTGTCCTCTTAAACCTGAATTCTTAGTTTCTGTTTTTCAGAAAAACTGACTTTTTCTTTCTTTTTCTCTTTTCAATCTCTTGTACTTTTTAGGTTAAAAATTTTGCAGTTATTTACCTTGTGGACATTACGGAAGTGCCTGACTTCAACAAAATGTATGAGTTGTACGACCCGTGCACAGTTATGTTCTTCTTCAGGTATGTGTTACGGGGTCAGAGCTGGTGTGTGGCTACTGCCCTGGGCCCTGGTCTCTGGCGTAGACCCTTCCTCTGGGGGATGTCAGTTGGCAGCCCCCTCACCGGGTCTGTATTGCCAAGCCGTGACTACAGTGACTGGAGTTCAAAGGACTCCAGCTTTAATGTTGATTATTACTTCTGGGCTTTTGCCACACCAGTGATGCTCAGGGATAACTTCTGGCTTTGCTCAGGGATTACTCCTAGCAGACTTGGGAGACATAGGGGATGCCAGGGATCGAACCCAGGTTGGCTGCGTGCAAGGCAAGTGCCCTACCCACTGTACTCTCTCTCCAGCCCCCAACTTCAGTATTTAATCAGCAACAAATTTTGCAGTCAAAAGGAGAAAGAGATAGAAACCTAGGTGGAGTGGAATTAAATGAAAGACATTTCTTTTGTTTTGTTTTTGGGCCATACCTGGCAGTGCTCAGGGCTCACCCCTGTGCAGCTTGCTGGGGATGAACAAGGTCAGTTTTAGTTCCTGTACTGTCTCTCCGGCCCCCAGGCTCATTTGCTTTTCAAGAGACTAACACTGACTCTTAGTGTCTTTTATGACCCCGAGATAAGCCCTGTACTGTTCCCCTTTTCTTGTACATATGAGATTATTTGATTAGTTTAAAATGCCCGTGTTGGGGCTGAAGCCATAGTACAGTGTACAAGGCACTTATCTGGCATGCAGCCAACCTGGGTGTGGAGGCAGGAGAACCCCCTGAGCATCGCCGGGTTCTGTCCTGGCCCAGACCCTCACCCTGTGCTGCTTCTGTCCTGGCCCAGACCCTCACCCTGTGCTCCTTCTGTCCTGGCATAGGCCTGGTGTCAGGGACTTCCTGTGTACCAGGCCAGGCCAGGTGGATGCATTTCTGCCTTCCCAGTTCTTTACTTGCTGGTAGCAGTGGAGTACTTAGGGACATTCACACTGGCAGAAAGGACAACCAGCTGAGACCCCAGGAGGGCACAGCCCACACAGAACTGTGGATCACAGCCAGGGGCATGATCTTGTACAAGTGTCAGATGAATAAAAGTTCATCCTTAGACCATGAAAAGCAAGTGAACAAAACAGAAAAGGTTGGGGCTTGAGCGACAGTACAGCAGGGTGGGCACTAGCCTTACACATGACTGACCCAGGTTCAATCTCTGGCATCCCATGTGGTTCCCTGAGCACCACCAGGAGTGATCCCTGAGCACCGAGCCAGGAGTAAGCCCGGAGCATCGCCTGGTGTGGCCCCAAACCAAAAAATGAGCAAACCAACCCAGAAAATGCTAATTGTTCATTCTTACAGTGACATGACAGTTTGCTCAAAAGCAAGCCTTGGGCTGTGGACAGCTTCACTCGCAGGGGGCCTGGGTTCAGCCTGTGCTCTCTAGGTCAGAGCTGTAAAGACCTGTCTAGTGCTGGCGTGAGAATTCTGAGTAGCTTCATTTCACGGGTATTGGGCTTGGAACAAACTTTACTGTAGGTGCTCACAAGAGGAGCACCCTGCAACTTGCATGCGCTGTTTGTTTTTGTGTGAGGAATGAGGGTGGTGACTAATTTGATACAACCTCAAGGAAAGTCTGACTTCCTGAGTGGCCAAACTTGTGTCCACTGACCCTTAACTGACCTTCTGGAAATGCGGAAGACAACAGGCGTGTGGGCGGCCTGTTGTGTGTTCTGAGAGGCAGCAGGCGGCTTCCTGTCTGCTTCTGTATCGATTCTGTGAGTCACGAGGGTGTCCAGCAAAGACGGTGTTTCTGAGCACGGCTTTTTATCTGCAGGAACAAGCACATCATGATCGACCTGGGCACTGGCAACAACAACAAGATCAACTGGGCCATGGAGGACAAGCAGGAGATGATCGACATCATTGAGACTGTGTATCGGGGCGCCCGCAAGGGCCGTGGCCTGGTGGTGTCCCCAAAGGACTACTCCACCAAGTACAGATACTGAGGGTGGCTGGCGGGGCCAGGGCCTGCAGCGTGCCTGCTGCTGTGTTTACGTTACCAGTCCTTGTACATACCCAAATGAATAAAATGCTGGTGATGGGAAGACGCTTAAGCGTGTCTGTCTGAGTGAACTTGCTATGGACGTGGCCGATTCTGACAGTCACTCCTACTTCTCTGCTGGCATGAGGTCACTGGGTCTGATGACGCCTGACAGAGTGGGAATCTGGGCCAGCTTCCTGGGTCTCTCTGACAGCACCGTGGCCTGGTCTCAGCCCCTACAGAGTCCGACCCCTTTCTGCAGCCTCAGCTGCCCTCTGGCCTTCGTGGTGGCCCTTGGCCTGTGCTGCTCTCCCGCCTTCCTCTTCACGTGCACACTCCTGTGGGTCCAGAGTGGGCACTAGCCCCACTTTGCACTCCCCTTATTCTCTCGCCTCTGCAGGAAGGTCTGTTCTGAGGTCTGGGACTGGGTGCAGCAGGAAGGTTTGTGTCCCACAAGATTCACTCAGGAAGGAAGTGCCTTACTCCTTTAGATCAAGGGCCAGGGAGGGTCGGCAAGAGCCCTGTCTGGCAGAGAACACATGCCTAGCGTGTGGGGCCCTGGGCTCCAACTCTGGTACTGCAACGACACAAGCACAACAAGCACTAGGGAATCGAGGGCTTTGGACCCTTACTTTTACCACTCAGTGTATGCATAGACACACATGTACTCTCACCTCCGTTTTGTTGCTGCTGCAGTGGTGAGGGGTTCTGTGTTTGGCTGGGTTGGATAAAGGGGATCAGACTTTCAGTCCCTGTCTTACAGGGCAGGTGCTCTGCGCTGAGTTCTCCTGGGCTCTAGAACCTGTTTATATTTGGTTCGGGGCCACAGCCGGCAGTGCTCAGGGCTCACTCCTGGCTCTGTGTGCGGGGGCTGAGCTCATGGGACCACGTGGTGCCAAGGGGGGACCCTGGGGAGTCCGATGCACGACGTGAGCTTCAGCCCAGCATGGCTCTGGCCCCGAGCCTGCCTGCCTTTGTCACGGAACCGCCTGGGACATACTTGAGTGTGTGCTTTGTGGCGTCTAGAGCATACCCTTTGGCCCGTGTGTCGTTTCTTCTCCAGTAGCACTTGGTGGGACGGGCTCTCCTGGCCAGAGCTCAGTGTGGAGACTCCAAGGAAAGGAGCAAGGGTGAATGTGTGTCTCACTGCTGCTCCGGAGTGTCCCTGGCAGGCGTCCCAGAGCTCCAGGGGTGCTTCCTGCCCTCCTGCCATTGGACCTTTGTAGAATGGGAGGAATTCTTGTACTTGTTTGTAACAGTGTGTGCTGGAATGCACCCACAATCCAGGTATGGGGCTCTGGGTGTAGCTCAGGGTAGAGTACATGGTTCTCATGGACAAGACTCTGGGATCGAGTGCCAGCATTAGAAAGAAAGGTGTTGAAATCTCTCAGCCCTTACTTTCCCAATTATTCTTGTATCACTTGTCATCCCATTGCTCATTGATTTGCTCAAGTGGGCACCAGTAATATCTCCATTTGTTCCCATCGCATGCTAGTGTAGCCCAATGGCATCTGCTCACTCCAGGAACACGAAGAGCCTCAAACCGTCCGTTCAGGGTCTTGACGAAGAAGTCTGACCATCTCGTAGGTGGGCGGCCACGCGATCTTTTGACATCCCATGGAATCCAGTCCATAACAGCTCTAGTCGTCTCTGAATCACATTACGTGTCTGGCCCATCTGATTTTTGACACCTTGGCAAACGATACAGCATCCCTGATACTCGATCGTCAATGGAGGTTGGAATTCCAGATTCCTTCTCTCACTTGAGTGAAGCATGATACTCCAAGTATAACTCTTCTGATTCCTCTTTGGGAAACCCCAATACCATTCTTATCCTGTTTTCATGGGGCCCAGGTCTCTGAGGCATATGTTAATACAGGAAGAACAGTGGAGTTGAAGAGATGTAGCCAGAGGTTTTTTGTCCTCTTAGCTATTTCTTCAATGCTCTTGAAGGCGTTCCACACCACTCTCTCCTGTGCAGCTCGGGTCCCAGGTCATTCATCATGTTGAGTTCTCAGCCTTGGTACACATAGCTGCTGCATTCAGAGATGTTCGTTCTGTTGAGAGCAAATGGAATGTCAGGAACTAGTTTGTTTCTCATAAACATTGTCTTCATGAGATTCAGCTGCAGTCCAACCTTTCCACACTCACGGTCAAAGTCGGTCAGCATTTGTGCTGCTTGGCTAATGTTTGGTGTTATTACAACAATGTCATCAGCGAAGCAGAGGTCGTGTAGTTGCCAATTATCTTCATTCCCATTCCTTCTCATTCCAGTCGTCACATGATGTTCTCAAGGGTAGCACTGAAGAATTTCGGTGAAATGGTATTGCCCTGCCGAACCGCTCTCTTTACATCAATGATCACTTGTAGAATGGTGAGGTCCTTCCTGGTGGCAAATCCGTAATACAGCTTGCAGAGGAGTCTGATGTACTGAGTTTAAACGCCCTGTTTGGCTAGGGCTTCAATGACCGCTTCAGTCTCAGCAGAATCAAAGGCCTTCTTTAAATCAGTGAATGTTAGAGCAGCATCTTGAACTCTCACGAAACCTCAATGAGCTTGGTCACCGTGTGGATATGGTTGATCCTGCTGAATCCTTTTCGGAACCCGGCTTGCTCACCTGGTTGTCCTTCATCTAGTGTTCTGATCCTATTCAGGATGACTTGAGTGAACAGCTTGTAGATGACGGACAACAGACAGATTGGGCGATAGTTGCCAATATTGTGGATGTCTCCCTTCTTGTACAGTAGTACAGTCCTGCTGGTTTTCCATTGGGACGGATCCTTGCATTCAGACAGGTAAGTTGTGAAAAGCCGACCCAGTGTATTGACAGGTACTGGCAGCAGATTCTTCAGGTGTTCGGGTCTGACCTTGTCTGGACAGGGTGCTGTATGCTTCTTTACCAACGAAGTGGCATGTCAGATTTCGGAAGGGAGAATGCTGGGAATGACATATCCATCCTGCAGAATTTGGTATGTGGGCAGGTGGACGTGGCTATTGAAGAGATCCAAGTAGAAGTCATGGATAACCTTTTCCATTGCCCTTCTGGAAGATGTGATAGATCCATCAGGACATCAGAGGGCAGTCATCTTGGTCTTGTAGTTGGTGAAGGACAGGCGGGCATTGCCAATACTTTTCCCAGCTTCTGCTCATCAGCCAACATTGCTGCTCTTCTCTCTTTGAGGTCTTCCTTTATCACTTCTCTGCACAGCTTTGCGAGCTCAGACATTAGCTTGTGATTGCCTGAGGCTCCCGTCAAACCACATTGGCGAATGAGCTCAAGAGTTTCTGAAGACAGGCGTCTTTTTGTGGCTTCTCTCAGTGTTCCTCGCACAATCATGAAGGTGCTGAACCAGTTGATCGTATTCCTTGTCGATGTTGTCAACAACAGCATCTCCCCATATTGCTGCAGTAGTGCTGAAGAGCTCCCAATTGGTGGTCGTTCTGGGAGTTCTCTTCTTAAACTTTGCAGCCCTTTATCCCTGCTCCGTGAAGTAGAATTTCACACGAAGGAGATGGTGGCCTGATCCCATTTGGAATTTTGGGACAACAGTGACATCGGTCAGGCAAAACCATCAATTGAGTATGATGTGGTCAACTTCGTTGTGGTGGAACTGTCTACCAGGAGACTCCCACGCCCAATGTTTAGATCCGGCCTTCTGGAACTTCAAGTTACCATGGATGGTCTTGGTCAACATGATGAACTCAGACAGTCTCTCACCCTGTTCATTCCATTGTAGGCTGTAGGTCCCGATGTGGAGTTCTTTGGGCGACCTTCTCAGTAGTCCTATCTTGGCATTAAAATCACCGACAATGACCTTGTAGAAGGTGTGGTCTTCTTTATAGAACTCCTCTAGCTCCATGTAGAACGTCTCAATTTCTTCATCGTAATTGGATGTTGGTGTGTAGATGACGAAGATGGAAACTGCCGGCAATGAGCCAAATCTGTTCTATCAACCGATTCGGGTTGTTAGGCATTTGAACAAATCACTGCTCATGGCCAAGTTCGTGTTGACGAGGACACCGACACCACCAATGCTTCTACTGTCGTATGTTCTGAGGAACAGTTCTTCTCCAGTGTTGAAAACAGTGTGATGTGATCGATGCCTTCTCGTTTCAGTCAATCCAATGACGTTGTACTTGATCTTCTTCACTTGCACCATCAGGTCTTCAATGGATGCTTCTGATGCCAGAGTACGTTTGTTAAAAGTGCAGACAGTCATTTTTGTCCTTCGTTTTGGCAGCCTAGTTCAGCCTTGAGTTTTTAGCAGCCTCTCTTTGCTCATCCTTTTCAACACTGCCATATTGGGGGCACTTCCAGGGTCAGGGGAATGAGGCCCATTTTTGTTACTGTTTTTTTCCATATCGAATATGCAATTACTAGACAATAATTCCCAATTATTAGACAGTATAATTATCTCATGAAGGGTGTTTTGTTTTTATTTGTTTTTTGTTTTTTGGCCTTTGGGCCACACCCAGCAGGTGCTCAGTGCTTACTCTTGGCTCTGCACTCAGGAATCACTCCTGGCAAATTCAGGGACCCTGTGTGGGGTTCAGGGATCAAACCTGAGTCAGTCACGTACAAAGCAAGTGCTCTACCCATTGTACTATCATTCTGGCTCTCTTGTGAAGGATGTGGGAAAAGTCAAGTGCCCTCAAGTGTCTGGTACATCAGCTTCATACTCACTCTGCAATGTAAGACCAGCAGCCTGTGGTCAAAGATGCTCATCTGGAAAATGCAAATCAGGAGGGGCCAGGAGGGATGACTCGACTAGGACTTCAGTTGTCCGTGTTGGTGAGGCTGGGAGACCGATAGGTGAGGCAGCTGCCACATTGGCTCCTCAGAAGTAAAACCGTCAGATAAACATTTTCACTCTTGTAAACCAGTGTTACCTTGATACCAGAAAAAAGTGCAGCAGAAAGCTGTTTGACCCAGTAGTGAATCCCTGGCATGTGGCCAGGAGAGTTGGCCATACGTGTCCACGCAGAGACAAGTGTGTGGACAGTGATGGTGCACGAAAAGTCGCACGGTGGAAAGCTCGAGGTCTGCTGAGCAGGGAGCCTTTTCTGTTGAGAGGAGGGAGGGAGTGCGACTCATGCCCCACCTGGAGATGGAGCGAGGGAGATGACTGCTGAGGCCAGGGCACAGGTAAGGGAAAGGCGGAGGCTTGGGCCCAGTGGGGAGGGTAGCCCAGGGGGGACCCTGTCTCGTGAGCATGAGGCTTTGACTTCAATCCCCAGCACCACAACCTCAATAAAAATACAACCTTGGTCAGCACGCAGGGGAGAGAGAGGGTTGAAAGACTGCTGAGACGGAGGAACGGGGTGACCCATGGGAGACGGAGGTGTCGGCTTCTTGAGATGCGGAAAAGGTTATCAAGTTGGCAGTGGCACCTGTGGGTGAACAACCAGATGACTATTTGCTTTCACTGGGAGAATCGTGTGGCCTGGGGTTCTTTTATTGACAGCTTTAGTACCTGTTTGAAAATATAAATCTGGGGCTGGGGTTTAGCAGGCGCTCACTTGCCTTGGCAGAAGGGCTGGGTTTGATTCTCAGCACCACCAAATAAATGTTTGGCAACAAAACTACAAGCAAAAATAAATGTTTCTTGGTAACAATAGAAACAAGAAATCCACATTTGTAACCTTACTGCCTGTATTATAATTTGTTGTATCTGTAGAATGTTTTAAGTTCTTTCACATTTGACTTTTAGTAACTCACAGTGCTTCGGGGCAACAATGCAGTGGGTTTGTGATCACTTCATTCCACACATCTCACTGGGCAACTGTTGTGCTAGCTGCCGCTCCCTAAGCTCTTCCAGGCTGTTTCTCAGATCCTTACAGCCCCTGCAGGCAGAGTCCAGAGAAGAGACACCACCAGCTGCAGAGGACATCGATTCTGCACCCAGGTGTGCAGTGATGAGTCCTGCTCTCCACGGACCAGGCTGCTGGCCTCAGGCTGGAAGGAGCAGGGACTGGCCAGGCTCTGTCCTGGTCTCTGGGGAGTGGGTGGGGCTCCCCGCCCCCTTCCTGGTGGCCTGAGGCAGAGTCCTGGGTCCAGTCCCAGGGCTGATAGGGCAGAAAAATGAGCTGCAGAGCAGGGCCAGGGCCCGGAGTGACACGCACTCAGGAATAGACACAGCAGACGCAGGAACACAGATGGCAGCACACATTGGAGCAATACGCACTCGGGAACAGATGCAGGAACACACTCATGGCTGGACGCTGGGAACAGCACTGGCCAGGTGGAAGGAAGTCACACGGCAGAGCTGCTCCTGATGAGCCTTTGCTGTGTGTGACTCAGCACACCTGAGAGACAGGTGCAGGACAGATGGTCTGTGCCGCTCACACAGACGTTCTGGGACATTCTAGAGCAGGAAGGCAGGAGCCACCAGCAAGGCCTCTGCCACCCACACCCCCTCTAAGCCTGTGTCCCGCAGGCTCCCAAACCCCACACTCCTGAGCTCGCCTGCTCAGGTAAATGCAGGTGCCTCTCACCTACCAGTTCGGTGCTGGTGGGAGGGAAGAGCCGAGGCTTCAAGCGGTCAGGGAGCACCTGAGTGGACCCCAGCCCCGTTGGTGTCAGTACTGTGGGGACACCCCAGTGACCCGTGACAGTACACACTCTCGGGCTCCGGGGCCAAGGTCACGCGCACCGCTCAGATCCAGCCACAAGAAGCACGTGAAACTGCGAAGGGTTTGGAAACTCATGGAATACATTTATTCAGAACAGAGCTGGCCTGGGTCCTGGCCGGGTGGTGCCAGCACTGGCTCCGTGTGGCTACAGGTTCAGTGCTGGAAGGCTCTTCCTGGTCCCAGCACGGGGCGCTGGAAGGAAACGGAGAGTTAGGCAGTGGCAGACACAGGCTAAGGACGCTCGGGAGAGATCACGCTTCTCGAGCCCATCCTAGGCTCCGTGTTTGCATCATGTTCTCTCGAGCACAAGCTTTAATGACTTTATCAAGTTTGGGGAGTTCCCAAGTGGTCCCAGGGGCCCCTCCGGGCGACTGTTGGTCAGCTAGCCCAGTGAGTTTCTCAGGCAAAGGTGGCAGGTGACTGGGGGCCTCCAGTGCTGCCCCCAGTGAGGCCGGGGGACCACGTGGTGTTGGGGTCAGAGTGGACTCGGCTGCTTCTGTGCATGTTCCTTGACCCCGTCCTCTCTCCCCAGCCCCCGCCCTGGACTTCGTAGAGGTGGGTTCTCTGGCCGCCCTGACGCATTCACAGGTCTTTCACCCTGAAGGTGGTGCCTAATGTTTCCTGGGTTCTAACCAACTACAAAGCAGCCAGCTGAGTCTTGTGAAGGGAAGAGCCACATGCCTCCCTCGGACCGCCTGGGACAGCTGTGGCCTCCTGCTTGGGTGGAGCTCAGCTTCCATGGTCCGGCAGGATGAGGCATGGCGGGGAGGGGCCGTGTGAGTACAACTCTGCGCCTCGTCCATCCTCTGGTTCCCGGGCAGGGGCCTTGGGGGGGCTGACAGACATGCTAGCTCCAGCACAACAGCGTGAGTGGGTGATTTGCCTGTGACTTTGGTAGTAGTGGTAAGGGCAGGATAAACAGGAAACAAAAGCATCTGGCTGGTCCTCCTAAACTCCACTCACACGTTCAGAATGTTGTCCGAGCAGCAGGAGTCTCCAAGTTGTGTCTCGTGTGTCTCAAGGACAGGAACCTGGACGAGACCTGACCTTTGGGCCGAGTCATCTGCACCTTCAGTTCTGAGCGTGGCTCTCCACGGGAGTAGGAATGTTTGCCTCGCAGGGGCCACGGTGGGCAATCGGGAGCCCTCAGTGGTGGGAGGAAGGACTCCACATCTGCATCTACCTGGGTCGTGGGTCATGGCCTCTCACGGAAGCTACTCGATCTGTAGTTTTTGGCAAAGGTCAAACACACGTGACCTCTGTGTGGAGACTAATTTGAGGTGGACTGAAAAAATACTTTTAGAAAATACAGTTTTTGATAGAGGGTTTTGGTTGGGTTCTTGTCTTTCTGACTTTGGAAACACTTGTCAGTGCCAAGAGTCTCTCCCAGGGGAGCCCTGGCTGCTGCCAGGCATGCTCCTGCCCTTTGCACTCTGCCCCAATAAGAGTTGCTCTGGGATTGTCCCTCTGAAGCAACTGCCAGCGCAGTTAGCGGGTCAGATTAGAAAAGAGTGTTTGTAGATGTCTATTTTTGGAGTGCTGGGGTCGAACTTAAGTCTAATATATGTTGGCCCGGTGTTCCCTGCTGTGTGAGGCCTTGAGCTGAACACGGCTCCCACAGTGTGGTGTGGAACAGTGGTGCCCACGGCCAGCGCCGAGGGCACTTGGTTTCCGAGAGGACAACGCCAAGGCACAGCCAGGGGAGTGTGCGGAGTCCCTGGTCTGGTCCCACCTTACCTGCGGCTCCTGTGCAGAGTCGGGCACCCCAGCCTGCAGCATCAGCTCATCCACGTCCCTCTGCAAGGCCTGCAGCCGTGCCCCCATCCCGTCCAGTGCCAGGAGTTAAGGAGGTGCCTCTCGGGCCAGCTCCTGCTGTCCTCGCCCAGCAGGGCTCTGCTCTCGTGTCCACGCAGGTTTTCGTCCAGCTTTGAACTCTGAACTGAGCTCCCCTGCCTGGAGGCAGATCTGGGAACAGAGGCTGACTGGTGGCTGAGCCCAGTTTTAACCAGTGTTGATGGTGTGTGGAAATGAACCCAAAAACCCAACCTCCCCATCACTTCATTTTCTTGTTCTAAAAATAATTCTGTCCCTGTCAGAACCCACCCACAGAATTAGAAGTTGAAGGTAAAACTTTTTTTTTTTTTTTTGCTTTTTGGTTCACACCCGGTGATGCACAGGGGTTACTCCTGGTTCTGCACTCAAGAATTACTCCTGGCAGTGCTCAGGGGACCATATGGAATTCTGGGAATCGAACCCGGGTTGACTGCGTGCAAGGCAAATGCCCTTGTGCTATCACTCCAGCCCGAAGGTAAAACATTTCTTGCAAGCTGCTGCACTCACTCCATGTGTATGCCTTACTTTGGGGGTCAGGACCTCACACAGTTCCCAAGGTGAGAACTCCAGCAAAATCTCCAGGGCAGGGCCTTGTCTGGTTTTGCTCAGCTAGGAAGCAAAATTAAGCTTTGCATCTTAATTCTGTTGGAATTCCTGCACACAGAGCTGGTGCCCCTGTGACACCCTGGCCATTCCGGGCCAGGGCAGCTGCAGATTAACTCAGGCTAGTGGACAGCCACTAGCTGCTCTCGCTCCCAACGGGTCTTTGCTGGATGCAGTGCCTGTTGCTGACCAGCTGGAAGGGAAGGGCCTTGTGCCCTGGCCAGCCTGTCAGGACGTCACGGGTGAGTCCCAGTGACCCCCTCAGCAGACGTCCTTTGCCTTGGACCATCAGGTGTCACCATGTGGAGATAGAAAAGGATATTTCTGAGGTTTAAGGTTTCAGTCAGAGCTTGAAAATGTTGTTCAAGTTCCTGAAATCGATGTTCTGCCTGAAAAAAAAAAAAGAACCACAAGTCAACAGATTATGGCGTTTCCTCACCATGGAGCCTCTAGGATTGGCGCAGAGATGGCTGGAAGGCACCGCACCCGCCCGCCCAGGCTGAGGAGAGCAGAGGGGCAGGCCTGGGAAACAGCCCAGCGGACAGGAGTGCACGGCTGCAAGCACAGGCCCTAGGCTCCGGCTGGCTCCACGTGCCCTTCAGCCAGCGCTGCTGGGATAATCACGTGGCAACTCCCGCCTGGCGGAGGGTGACGTGAAAACAAAAGTAGTCATGGCTGGGAGAACAAGCAGCCTCAGCCCTGCAAAACACACATTCATGCGCATATATATGCACGCACATTCACTCAACACACACATATGCTCACGTAGATACACAATACACACATTTGCATACTCACACACATCTACCCACATGCATATTCACGTAGACCCATGCACAAGCACACATGTATTCCCACACACCACAAAATACACGACCACACACTCATACATGACTCACACACACATTCACACTCATACACATACTGTCACACTCACAAATACACTGTCACACATTCACCCACACACGCTCATGCACATACAAGCAGTCACATGTACACTCATGCACATACACACATTCACACATATGCCCACACTCATATGCACAACACGCCCTCCGGGTGTCCATGCAAAGGAGGCGCAGAAACGCAGAGGAGCCCTGGTCCCGCAGGCTACGGACGGACCCCCGAGCCATGCGCTGGCTTCACTGACTCAGCCTGCACTCGGGACACCAGGCACAGAAAGAGCCGCTGGTCAGGGGTGTCCCACCGAGGTCTGCTTACACGGGCCGTCTTCACTTAGAAGAGTGCAGAGGAGAACCTAACCCTCGGGCGAGCTGGGAAGGGGAGGCCCAGGGACCGTTGTGGAGTGCGCTGACACGAGCCCCTGCGTGAGATTCCCACAGAGCCAGCACCAGCACACGTGGCCCTGCTCATCGGGAGCCGTGCTGCGGGCTGAGGCCTGTGAAGGAGAACCTAGAACTGGACATAGTGGGCAGTGGTTAGGGCACAGCTTCGCAGGCTCCCGGCCCGGAGTACTGCAGGAGGGGCCTGGGTACCCCAAACACTGCTGGGAGTTCTGGGTAACGCAGCACTGCAGCCTCAGGCATTGCACTGAACCTCGGGCAACACGTCGAGCATTGCAGTGGCCCCCTCAAAAACAGAAATGCCAAAATCCACGGGCCCCACACCTGGGCACTCACCCAGAGGACGGGAGTCTTTGCTTGTGTTTAGTGCCGGCAAGTGGCCCAGGGCAGGTGCCACTGAGAAATTGACCCCAGTCGCAGGGGTGTCTGCACCCAGTGTTCACAGTGGCCAAACCACAGAGTCTGCCTGGCTGCCGTCATGAGAGGACTGGTGGGGCCGGAGCCCCAGGACAGTGGGGAGGGACCCCCTCGCCTGCTGGAAAGGACCCCTGAGCGCAGGCCAAGAGGAACTGCTGAGCAGACAGAGACAAGAAGGCGAGAGTACTGTGAGGGTTGTGGGCTCTGCTCAGTGGCTGGAACTGCCACCATGAAGCTACTGCACTTGTGACACAGGACACAGAGGAGCCTGAGGTGACCCGGGGGAGAGGAAGCAGTTACCAGACGGCGTCACCACTGTGACCTGCCAGTGGCTAAGGTCAGTGAGCCGGCAGCCCGACATGGTGACGCGTGACCGCAGGAAAGGCTGGGGGCTTTGGGGCAGTGGGTCGGCTGGCACTGGGGTGGGCAGTGTGGCCCTTCCACGTCTTGAAGGGTGAGAGTGAACCAGCTCCACTGGGACCGTCCCCGCCCAGCACTAGGGCACACCCCACAGGGCCTGGAAGTGCAGGGGCCATGTCTGGTGCTGTCGGGGGCACCCACAGCCTGCCAGCTCTGTCCCGCACACGCACACCATACCTGTCCCCCAAGTCTCCCCTCCCCCACCTGCTCCCCAAGTCTCCCCCTCCCCCACCTTCTCCCACCTGCGCCCTGCCTGCTCCCCACCACTCCCCACCTGCTCTCCAGCTGGGGGTCTCGCCTCCCACGCCGGGCTTGCTTTGGCAGGAGAGGGTGAGTGGGGCGCAGTGTGGGGGCTGTTCCTCGGAGGGCGGCGCTGCCTGGGGCTTCCCTCTGATGTGGTGCAGTCCTACCCTCAGTGTGGTGCCCCCGCTCCACCCCGACCCACACCAGGCCCCGGTGTACTTTGGGGGTTGAGTCCTGAGGGGAGGAGCGGGGCCCCACTCACCAGATCCTGCAGCAGGTCACTGCGGGGGGCTTCGGGACTCTGCACATCCATGTTGGGGGTCTCAGGCAGACAGGGACCCCAGGGTGCAGGGGCAGCGCCAGCCCCACTGGCTCTGGAGCAAGATGCCGGCGCGACTGGTCTGCACTGGGGCTGCAGAAGGGAGAGGTGGAGAGGCTGCGTGTGCCCACTGCCTGGGCATGCCGGTGAGCAGTGGATGCCAGGGCAGGGCGTGGCCTCCCTGCATCACAGCTGCCCAGGTGCTCATGGTCCAGCAGGGAGCGGGCGGGGCTGCTGGGCCAGTTCCTCCGGTCTGCTGGGTTCTTGCTCACAGCAAGGGAGATGAGGGCAGAAGCCAGTGAGCAGGAGTGAGTTCTCGCGATTGTTCTTGTGGAGACGTCGTGTCTGGAAGCTGGGTGAAGACAGCTGTGCCCCAGATGCTGCCACCCACGTCTGTCTGCTCACAGGCAACGTGGCTCTGCTCCATGCCCTGGTTGGTCCCCTGGGGCCTCTGGCCTGCCGCAGCGGACAAGTGGAGAGGCGTGCCCTGCGACCAGGCCCACCACAGCCAGCTCTCAAGCATGGCCAGGGTTGCCCCTTGTCCTGTCTGGACAGCAGCCCCAGGGCTGGCTGCTGGAGGTCACCGCGGACCCTCTGTGGCACTGTTTTCTGTTCTGCACTTTTTGTACCTTACACATGGGAAGATTTGGGGGTCATGGACAAGTCTGGGCTGGCCCAGGGTCACAGAGCCTAGCTGAGCACCACCTGGGCACAAGGTTCTGAGTGTTGGGGGTCGTAGACACACGCAGTGCCCAGGAGAAACTTTCCCCTATGCAGATCTCACCTGTGCTCACAGACCCCAGCCAGAATGGAAAGATGGGGTGACCTCACTCAGGCTCTGTGGGGATGTGAGTTGGGCTGGGGTGACATGCTCCATGGACATTCAGGTGGGACCTGGTGACACTGACACTGTGGGGATGGGAGGTGGGACGGGGCAACATGCTCTGGGGATGGGAGGTGGGACGGGGGGACCCGCACTCACACTGTGGAGGTATCAACTGGCATGTGTTTTCATGGGTGAGATCATCAAGAGCTCTGACAGGGAGACACTGTGTCATGGTTTGTGGACGATGCAAAGGGGGGACCAGATAACATGACAGTTATCAGTGTTAGCAGACGTGTGATGAGGCCTGCCTGCGTTCATTCAACTGGCAGCCAGTCATACATCTGAAGTGCCTTCCCCTTGGGCGCCAGCTTGGGCCAGGCGCCCTCCACCCCTCCAGTCCTGTGCTCCTGAACCTTCCTGGTCCCTGCAGCTGGGAAGGTGCTCCACAGGGGCTGCTTATCAGCCGGGCTGGGTTTGTTTCCGTTTTGTTGGGAGGGGGCATTACCTGGTGGTGCTCAGAGTTTACTCCTGGCTCTGTGCTTGAGGGGTTGCCTTCAGGGGTGCTCAAGGGGACTGGTTCCAGGTATCAAGCCTGGACTTCCTGCATGCACTCAGCCTGTTGAGCTGTCGTCTCATTGTTCTTTGCTTTTTGGTTACGTAGCAGTCCTCAGGAGGCCATGCGGTACTCCAGGTCTCCGGAAGGATCTAACCCTCTGCACAGAGCTCGCGCTCCACCCCGCTGCACTCCGTGGGGCCTCCAGAGTCTCGTCCTGTGTCTGCTTCCCACCCTCACTGCCCTCCCGCCCCCCACAAGCACAGGCAGGGGGTCTGGCAGGATCCACTTGGCCAGTGAGGCACTGTCGGCTGATTTCTTTGTGCGGGAGGGACACAATAATCCTCGACAAACAGAAGAACCACATTTGCTTCCTGAAGCTGTTCTACAGCTCACACACTGCAGGCCAAAGGGGAGGGGGCGGGCGAGTGCCCAGCCACTGCCCTCCAGGAGAGTTAGGCGCTGGCCTCGGAGGAGGGCCTGGCAGGGGCCAGGGAAGGCCTGGGCGGTGGCCACAGGTTCCCAGAACCCCGGCAGGGGCAGTAGTGGAAGTGGCTCCGAAGGGCTTCAGGAGGTACGTAGAGCCCCCAACACTTTCCTCCACCCGCTCCTCACAGCCCTGCCCTGTCCCTGCTCTACTCTCTCTCGGCCTCAGAGCTGCTACTGGCTGGCTGCTGGGACAGCCACTTGGAGCTGGCCAGTCAGGCTTTGTTCTTCCTTCCTGTCTTAAGAGCATGTCCCGACCACCTCTCGTCTCCGGGCAGAAGGTGCCCGTGCGTCTTGACGGTGCTGAAGGCTCGAAGGCTGCCTGTGCCAGTGGCCCCGGCTGTTTCTCCCAGCTGTGTCTGCGCTGCCTCTGCTCTGTGGCCCCGTCTGGGTTTTCCAGTGATGCGGAAACCTGGTGCTCACGGTGCCACTTGGTGTAGCCCCTGGTGTCCCACGCGGCCAAGGCCTGGGGTGTCTGTGGGCACCTGGGCTGCTGCGTCCTCCTCCTACTTCCTTCCAGTTCAGTTTGGGGCTCTCTGGTTTTCCCTGACTCTGAACATTCTCCAGAGCAACTCAGGGTTCCCGGCCTCCACCTCCTCCCAGCTCCCCGCAGCCCTCTCCGGCCTGACCCCGTCTGCTTCTCAGGACCTCGCTTCCTAACAGGCTGGAAAAGCTGTTAGGACAACCACACCATCTGCTGCCAGGTGGGCCGGGGCCCCTGAGTCCTGCAAGGAGAGTGAGGCTGCGGTAGGAGGGTCAGCTCTGCTCGGTTTGTGGGGCTGAGAGCAGTGAGCACATGGCCCCAGATCAAGCGCTGGGCAGACGCCCTCGGCTCTGGAGGCAGAATCCGAGTCACCTTCACTGTATCCGAACCCAGGTGCTGGTTTGGCTCCAGTGATGATATTCGCGCCAGGCATCTGATCCCCTGCACCACACGACCCCAGCAGCAGTGCCTGGTGTGGCCCTGGAGATTCCTGGCAATGCCAAGGCCCAAGCACCAAACCACAGGAATGGGTGGCCCCGGGGAGGAATCAGGGCATTGCCAGGGGCTACTGGGGAGACCTTGGCTTGAGCTTCCCCAGGAGCTTGGGGGCGCCAGTGTTAGGGGTGCTGCTGTGTGCAGCCCTGTGCACAGGCAGGCTGTGGCTCTGGGGCAAAGCTCAAGCCTGTGTAACAAGCCAAGGGTTTGACCCTTGGCATGGAAAAAGGTGGGGGGGGCTTGTGATCCCTAAAGGGCCGCGGATAACCTGGGACATCCCCCAGCCAGTCCTTAACTCAGCCTGACCTGCTGTGGCCGCCTTGTTTCAAAGACCCGGTCACTGGTTCTGGGGCCACTATGTCGTCCGGGCAGCCTCCCCCAGGCTGGAGACTTGCGGCATTCCTTGCTGGGAGGCCGGGTGCCCGTCACACACGCCACCTCCCATGTCCTTCTTCCCTCCCACATGCCACCACACTCCAGCCGTGCCCCGGGCTCACATCCGTCTGCCTGCCTGGCCCAGGGCTCTCCGCAGAGCCGCTATCTTCTGGCCCTAGACCGTGGAGGCTTCCCCACACACCTGCTCAGGCCCCCGGGGATGCCCTGGGTTTCGGGTGCTGGGCTGCTGCCTGGGAGCCAGGCCTGGGATTCCCACACACATGGTCCCCTGCCGGCTGCCAAGCAGGAAGGAGGCGCCCAGAGCAGGAGGCCATGCCTGCCTGCCCACAGCTGCAGCCCAGAGCCTTGGAGCCTGTAGGAGGCAAACTCCCAGGAATGGCGACTCCACCCTTTCCACGCCACAGCCCTGCCGGAACCAGCACCAGAACCAGCACCAGCCCTGCATCAAAACAGATCGCTGTGCGCCAGCCCTGGTCTTGCTGGTGGCAGCTCGGGGCACAGGCTGGGAGGAGCCTCAGGACGCAGGGGCCCCGTTGGTCTCGGGAAGCCCACGTCCCGCCTGTCTGGGACTTCGGAGGAGGGTCGCTGGGGCCAGGCCAGAGGGAGTTGGAGGAGACAGTGTGTGTGTGTGTGGGGGGTGACAGTGGAGGCTGCAGGGTCAGTAAAGGGACAGGGGGCACAGTGAGGGGGCGACAGGGGGCTGTGGAGAGAGATATGGTGACCCTCAGAGGTTCCAGCTGTGTGCTCTGGGTCCTGAGCCCTGGGGGAGGCCCCTCGGACAGACTGGCACCTGCCCGGGCTCACCTGGGCACACCTAGCTCCGCTGTGCATCCCACCCCCAGCCCAGCTCCACCCCTCAGGCGCCTGGTCAGGCCACGTGGCCCCTGGTCGGGTACCCTTTTCCTTATGAGCAGGTGGACACCCCCCAGAGGCCCTGCCAGATGCGGCCAGTAGCCATTAGCAGATGACCTGTGTGTGCTGGCACCTGTGCCTCTGGAGCGGAGGCACCTGTGCCAGGTACGCGGCGTCCCATACCCCGGACCCAGGGCCACCTCGGACACGCTCCTGCCGGTACTGCCCCCGCTCTCCCCGACGCACCCGCGGGGCCGGGCGGGGGGCTCCACCCACCTGGGCAGGTGCCCGCAGGCCCATCCGGAGGGTGATGCCTGGGAGCACCCAGGAGCCTCCTGCTGGCTGTGGACCTGCCGGGTCAGCGCAGGGACCCCCGGCCGGGCCGAGAGGTCGGGCCGGCGCAGGGGGCGTGGCAGAACGCTGCTGGAGCCCTGCTGCGGGGGTCCGAGCGCGACCCCCCGCCCCCGGCCGCCAGAGTACCTCTAGGGGCTTCCTCGGGGCGTCATGACGCCAGGCCCCCTCCTCGGACCCCCAGGGACGCCGTCCGCGCCCTTGGTCCACGCGCAGCGGGCCCGGGCGCGCACTAGGACCCGGGAGCGCGGGCCGTGGCCGGGAGGGCGCGGAGCTTTGTGACGTCCCGCGGGGCGGGGCGGGGCGGGCGCGCCCGGACGGACCGACGGACCGACGGACCGACGGACCGACCGCGCGGCGGCGGCGGGTAAGCGCTGCGCGTGTCCCGGGTCCCGGCCCCTGCCCAGGCGGGGCCCGGACCCGGGCCGTGCGTCCCTCCTGCCCCCCGCCCTGCCCTGCCCCTCGGCCCCCGCCGTGCGCCCCCCGCCGCGCGCGGAGTCCGCGGTGACCCGGCTTCGGGCGCCCTCCTGCCCCCTGCGCCCGCCCGGCTGTCCCCTCCGCCCCGGCCTGTCCGCGCCGCGCCCTGACCGGTCCCCCCGCCGCGCCCCGACCTGTCCCCCTGCCCGCCCCGGCCTGTCCCCTCCGCTCCGACCTGTCCGCGCCGCGCCCTGACCGGTCCCCCTGCCCGCCCCGGCCTGTCCCCTCCGCTCCGACCTGTCCGCGCCGCGCCCTGACCGGTCCCCCTGCCCGCCCCGGCCTGTCCCCTCCGCTCCGACCTGTCCCCGCCGCGCCCAGACCGGTCCCCCGCCCTCCCCGGCCTGTCCCCTCCGCTCTGGCCTGTCCCCTGCACGGCGCCCTGACCTGTCCCCTCTGCTCCAACCTGTCCCCCGCCGCGCCCTGACCTGTCCCCTCCGCTCCAGCCTGTCCCCTCCGCCGCGCCCTGACCTGTCCCCCTGCTGCGCCCGGGCTTGTCCCCTCACCGAGCCCCCCGACTGGTCCCCCGCAGCCCCCTGCCCGGTCCGGCCTGCCCCCCCCACCGCCCTGACCTGTCCCCCCCGGTCCCCTCCCCAGGCCTCATGCGGGAGCGCTGCCCCGGCGCCCCAGAGCGGGTGAGCGCGCGCACGGCCCGGCCGGCCGCGGGATGGACGCGCAGGGCCTGGACTGGCTCCTGGGCCCGCTGCGCCGGCTGCTGTCCTGGGGGGCCGCGGGGGCCATGGTCTTCGGCGGGGTGGTGCCCTACATCCCGCAGTACCGGGACATCCGCAGGACGCAGAACGCGGAGGGCTTCTCCACCTATGTGTGCCTCATGCTGCTGGTGGCGAACATCCTGCGCATCCTCTTCTGGTGAGTGGGGGCGGGGGCGACCCGGGACCCACCGGGGCCCACCAGGGAGTTTTGCTGGCTTGTTTCTTTAGTAGGAAGTCGCTTTCCGAGAAATACTTGAGTTTTCCTCCCGCTCCACCCAGCTCAACTTCCTCTATGATTTGTCCGGCTTAAGGACATTTGAAGTTAACTTTAGTAGGCGCTAGACCAGAGCGACCGGGAGTGGGGTGGATTTTCCCGGAAAACAGCCTGCCCTCCGCTGGGCGCCTGGCACTGCCGCCTTGTGACTGGGCAGTTTTGCTAGTTGATATTTATTTATTGAACACTGGGGGGATTGGCCATACCTGTGTGCTTGGGGACCACTCCTGAGAGTGCTCAGGGCACTGAGCATGTGGTCTTGAGCCTGGGCTTCCGTCACGCAAGCTCACTCTCCTGCCCGTAACTCTTCTGGAAGCAGCTGAGAAGTGATTGGGCAAAGTAGGTTTTGAGTGCTGTCTGGTAAGGTCCGACGGGCTGGTTCACCTGTCACCGGGGGGCGGGGGTTGAGTCTCCTGAGTCCCGAATGCCTCTGCTCCCTGCTCTGCACGGCCCACCGCCATCCTTCCCTCTCACCCCTGGCTGGCACCACCCAGAGGGCACCACACATTTTTTTCTTTTTTTCTTTTTTGGGTCACACCCGGCGATGCTCAGGGGTTACTCCTGGCTCTGCACTCAGGAATCACTCCTGGCAGTGCTCGGGGACACTATGGGATGCTGGGGATCGAATCTGAGTCAGCCACGTGCCAGCCAACGCCCTATCTGCTGTGCTATCTCTCAGGCCCCTCTCTTACTTTTTAAAAATGTCAGTCACCGTGAAATGACAAACTTTCATGATTGCTTTTCAGACATACAATGTTTCAACACCCTTGCTTTCCCCGACATGGCCCCCCACTCCTGGCTGCCTCCCACCCAGCTTGTACAGGTGCCTCTGGGGGTTGGGGGCAGTGACGTTCTTACCGCACATTGAAAAACCGAAGTTTGAAATTCCTGCTTTCCCCTTGGCTGAGGGCCACGAGGCCTGCTGTGGTGTGACACTTCCTTCCCTTTGCTGAGACGCCTGAGCGGGAGCTGGGCCAGGCACACAGGGCAGGCCAGGGCAGCACTTACGTGGCATTGTGGGGGGACGGGCTCCACCCCACCAGGCGTGTGCAAGCAACAGCGCCGAGTCTACGGAAGCGTCTGACTGGAGCGCCGAGATAGTGGCTCTTGCCGCTGCCCTGCCTGGGTCTCCTGTGCATGACTGACTCTGCCCCGGCTCACGTCCACTAGGGCTTTCCTAGGGCGACCTGGTGCGGCCTCCGGTGTGTCCTGCACGTGGCCTGCTGCTGGCGCGGTTCAGTGCCTTCGTGCATCTGGCCCAGAGTCGGCGTCCTGAGCTTCCCTGGGCTGAGTCAGGACTGAGGCTCAGCGCCGCTCCCCTGGGGCTGCCTTTGTAGCAGAGGCCGGGAATGGAAGGAGGCAGACGAGTGCCGTGGCCTGAACATGCTCTCCTCGCCAGCTCGGCATCTGGGCTGGCACTGCAGGTGCCTCTCCCCCAGCTGGTGATGGGAAGGGGTCCCGGACTCCTTTGTTCCCTCTGGGGCCCTTGCGACCTGCTTCCCCACCAGGCATCATACAGTGGCTGTATGTTTAATAATCATGTTCGCTTGCTTGTGGGCCACCTCTGGTGGTCTTGGGGGCCGGAGTGTGGGATGGAACCTGGGCTCCAGCCTTGCTGCCTCTTCCCTGGCCTGGGATCGATTCCTGAGGGTTTTTTTTTTTTTTTTTTGGTCACACCCGGCGATGCTCAGGGGTTGCTCCTGGCTTTGCACTCAGGAATCACTCCTGGCGGTGCTCGGGGGACCATATAGGATGCTGGGAATCGAACCCAGGTCGGCCGCGTGCAAGGCAAACGCCCTCCCCGCTGTGCTGTTGCTCCAGCCCCTCCTGAGGTTTTTCTGTGCCTAATGCTGGCAGAGGCTCAGCAGCAGCTCTGTGGGGTTCGACCTGCCCATGCCCTGTGGGGGATGGGGCAGAGACCAGCCAGTGGGTGCCGCAGTACAGGCCCGGGGCCTGTAGGAGTGAGGCGGAGACTGTCTGCCTGGGTGGACACCTCCACAGCCTGAATCCGCGTGCCCCAGGAGTTACTTTCAAATCTAAAACAATTTTGTTTGTTTTTGGTCCATACCAGGCCGCTCCTGGTGGTGCTGGGATGAGCCCAGGCCCGCCACGTGGAGAGCTGCAAGTTAGCCCGTCGGGCTTTCTCTGGGCCCTCCTAATTCCGGGGGGCCCGTCCCAGCTCTGGCCTAGGAATTACACTGGCAGTGCGCCGGGGACATATTTGTTCCCAGGGGTTCAAACCAGGTCAGCAGGGCACCGGCAAGCACGTTAGCCCTGCACTCTCTCCAGCACCCTCGCTAGAGTTCTTAGTACCCCAGTGTAACTTGGGGTTATCAGGCTACAGCTGGCCAGGCTGGGACGAGTTTGGGTGCTGGGTCTGGAATCGGGGTCTCCTACATGTGAACAATTTCCTCAGCTCTGAAACTTTCCCCCTTAAAATCCTTTTGCGAAACCAGCATTCAGCAGACCCTCCGCTGGGCGGGCAGTCTGACCTCTGGGGTGTGGGGTTGTGAGGGGCCTGCGGGCAGCCATGGTGCTGGTCTCTGCAGGTCTGTGATTGTGCGGTGCTGGGAGCCGTGGGCCAGAGCCTCCGGCTGTCACGGCACTGCCCGGCTTCTTCCCAGCAGCACTGGTGTCAGGTGTGGGGTGGTGTTGGGTGTCAGGCTGAAGAGACATGACACTGTATCAGGCCTGGGGTTGGGCGTGCAGATGACATGGCCATTGTGTCAGAGACTGAACGTGGGGACACTGTATTAGAGGAGATCGTGACACTAGGCATGTGGACCCATGTCATACACGGGGAGTGGACCTGACACATTCAGGGTGTGGGCTGTCACACTGGGGGTGTGGCCTGTCACACTCAGGGTGTGGGCTGTCACTCTGGGGGTGTCACACTCGGGGCGTGGCCTGTCGCAATCAGGGTGTGGCCTGTCATTCCCGCACCCGGGGTGCAGGTGCCGAGTTGGAGCTGGGTGGTTCTGCGGGAGCTGGGGGCTGCAAGTCACGGCTGACCGTGTGTGCCCCACAGGTTTGGCCGGCGCTTCGAGGCCCCCCTGCTGTGCCAGAGCGTGGTGATGATCCTCACGATGCTGTTCATGCTGAAGCTCTGCACCGAGGTCCGTGTGGCCACCGAGCTGAGCGCCCGGCGCCGCTTCTTCTCAGGTGGGTGCCGCGTGCTGAGCCATGCCCGACCGGAGGCCTCAGGCGGGGGCGCCCTGCTCGGGTGTCTGACTGTGACCCTCAGAGCCTGCCCTTCTCTCCTGCAGGGCCCCCATGAGTGTCCCAGGGAGTTACCTCAAGGGGGTGGGCACTCCAGAGTGGCTCACGCTCACCCACCCGCCCAGCTGACGTTTCAGCACTCAGGAAATAGAACTTTGGGCATCCTCTGGGCTGATGCCCTGTGGTTGCCGGAGGTGACCGGTGTTCCTTGCAGTCTGAGGGCTCAGCACTGCTGGACACACAGTCCCCAGTTCCTGGCTCGGCCATCTGTATTCCTGGGAGCTGTTTCCTTTCCACGGCCTCCCCTGTGGCTCCTGCATTCAGGGGGGCAAAGCCACCTGTACTCTGGCCAGGCTGGAGGTTGGCCAGTGGCCCTGTGGGGCAGCCTGGACCTTGGCGATGACTGTCGGCTGCTGACCTGTGCCTCCTGCTTCCCCTCCCCTCTGTCCCCTGACCTTTGTCT